AGCCTAAAATGGCATTGTAAGAGGGAATGGGCTGAGAATGAATTGGAAATTTGGATTACTGAATCGGTTCCCAGTCACTTGTTTTGTGTAATAGACTCCCACAAATATCTTTCCAATAGGACTTCCCATAGTCAAAATTACATGCTTTCCCTCTCCTCTACTTCTTACACAAGCCCCCCCAAAAAAGGGGTTAGGCCAGCCATTCCCTGATATGCAAAAGTACTCTACAAACAAAACCAAAAATGACAGAATAACGTGTTTTTCTGCCATTGATTTCCTCACTTACTGCCTTTTCTCTTTACACAGAATCACTGAGAGATGTGTAGCCCACATCATAAAAGATGGCATTGAAATCATAATAAATGCAATAAACCTTCTTGTCAAATTGCGAGGTCTTTTCAACCAAATGACAATAACATGTTTTCCCCCAAGAAGTTTGCATGTGGATTGAATCTATAGCTACATTTTGATTCTACCATTCCATTTTCTCTATAAGACCGAAAAGGACAAAATTAAATTGAAAATACAATTTAACTTGCATTCTGGTCAAGATCATGCGAAGCACAATCTTTAATCACAGCAACTATGATGCCACAAATTTCTTTCCGAGTGCCATGCATATATTTTTTTGAACAATTCCTTTACATGTTTGTGGATGCAAATGTCCAGTGAATGCTTACTAAGTGAATTCAACGAGTTTTACTCCCTCAATTGTGCACATTCTTCGTGAGGCTGTGTATACAAGGAGGCTGTGCTTCATATATCCTGTATTTTGTACTTTGCCTTAATCGTTCTGCGTGTAATCCTGAATAACACGTTTTATAAAACTCTGGTTGTTTTCCATTTCAACTTTCTTGTTCAATTTAACTCGTGCCATTTTCCTTTCCAAAACTAACATTTTCCTTGTGAATTTTTACTTTTGTGACATGCCCAGGCACAGGTGAGACAGCAAGGAGATTTTGTATCCCTTCACCGTGATTTGATGATTGGATTTGGGACCTGGGAATTTGATCCTACGGATCTGGAGAACCCATTTTTAGAAAGTGAAGGTTCGGTTCACTTATGGCAGGGAGATGATGATAAACTTGTCCCTGTTAAACCACAACGTTACATTGTCCAGAAGCTGCCATGGATTCATTATCATGAGCTACCTGGTGCTGGACACATGTTTCCATTTGCTGACGGAATTTTAGACTCAATCTTCAAAACACTTCTAGCTGGATAGACGCGTCTTCTGCGATGTTGGGTCTACACTTGTTCTAGCGCATTAGCTCGGGATTTGAAATCTCATATGTTGTGACAATTTTGTTTGAAACATAATATTTCTACATGTATCTAAACACTGCAATTTTTATTTGAATAGCATTAAAGCGAGACTTCATCCAATCGCCACTCGTTGGGCGACGTCTTCTTTTCTATGAACACCCCACCATTGAATGATGAACTTTGCCAATCTTCACCTTCGACACCTCGGACCCGATTGGAGAGAGCACATTCGATTGGATGAGTATCTTGTGTCAAAATTGAAAAAATTTATGGCTCTCTCAAAATTAAATTTATTCTAAACAAATATCCTCACTTCAATAAGGTACAAACATCTTAATTTGATAGTTTGATCAGTATTGAAAGTGAAGTTGACTCGGTCTCTATTTAGCCTATTCAGGACAGACCTATTGGCCATCAAGCGTACAAAGCTCTACTCAACAACACAAGTCTATGAGAAGATCATCTCTAACCTGTTTAGACACCATTAAATTTAGCCCCTCTTTTGATCTCCATTTTCAAAATCATTTTAACCACACATTTGCTAACTCTTAATTTCATTAACAATATCAATTAAAAATATAATTTTTAGCTAAAATAAATAGGGATTTACTCGACATACGGTTAAAATGTTGTTAATAATTGTAAATCCTCAATTATTATGAATTTCTACTACATATTTTGCAAAATAAGGAACAATTTGCTTAAATTTATTATGGGACCAAGGAAATTATATCAAACGCCAGAAAATAATCCAATCTAACCTGTTAAGTTAAAAATTAAATTTGATAAAAATTGATTATATGTGCAATTGAAAAGTTGATAAACGTTATGAATTTCGTAAAATATAGGGATAATTGTACTAGTGGTACCAAACCTTTCAAAATGTCGCAACTGAAGTCCAAATGAATTGTTTCTATTTTGACCGTTAGTTGATCAAATAATTGACTTCGACAATAATTTTGACTGATTTTAAAAGGTTAAAATGATAATTTTACATTTTTATAATAAAATAACCATAATTAAATAATTACAATTTAAAACCCACCCCACCCCACCAAGGGGCCCCACCTTCTCCTTCTCTTCCACCGCCAGTATCGACGCCACTATCAATATGTCGCCGACCTCCACTTTCACGACAACCACAAATTCCCTCTCAATTGCACTTCCCTCACCCTTTGGAAACGTATCTCTCTTCGGCATAGACCTCCGTGCTTCGGCTTATGAGATCTTCCTCGCATCCACTCGCTTATCCTCATCCAAACCCCTCACCTACACTTCCAACAACCAGAGCAATAATAATAGTATTATTAGCAATGATGGTAATTCCTCGATGATTAATGGTAATAATTCGAATAATTTGTCGCCATCATTGTAGAGGTCACTGACTTTGACATCAGCATCGAAGATGAAGAAGGTATTGGGACTGAGATCCAGCTCGAAACGTGGATCTGAAGGTGGGAGCCCCGGAAGTAACGATTCGGGAGGGAAAATAAAGAAGTCTATGACTATAGGGGAGCTAATGAGAGTGCACATGCGGGTTTCTAACGCCATGGATTCGAAGATATTGATTTCCGCAGATTTGGGGTGGGGTGGGGTGGGGTTTTAATTTTAATTATTTGATTTTGGTTATTTTATTAAAATTACCATTTTGACCTTTTAAAATCAGTCAAAATTATTGTCAAAGTCAATTATTTGGTCAACTAACGGTCAAACTAACAGGAATCATCAATTTGGACTTTGACTGCGACATTTTGAAATGTTTGGTATTGTGGGTGGTACAAATGAAAGGTTTGGACAAAGTCTACTATTTCATAAAAAGTTTGATACTGCTGCTACAATTGTTCTTGAAATATATGATTAAAAATGAATACGATATCAAACAAAGAAGTGATTCCCACCTTATACATTGCCATCCCCTGACCCAGCATGCCAAAAAAGTCAAGAAAGTACAAGCCTGGCTTCGAATCATATAAGAAAAATGACAAAAATAGAGTTAGTTTGGCATGGATTAAAATATAAATTTTAATTTAAGTTACAATAAATTAATAATTAATTTTAATTAAATATTTTATGAGTTTCATAACTTTTCAACAGTTCACTTTATCAACCTCTATAAAAATTTATTAAAACTCTTATTTTAATCGTCATCGTTGTCTTTCATGTGAGGCCCGGCCCTTTCGACTAGATCCCACACGCGAGTTTTTATCTGCATGGAAATGCAGCAGAGGACAGGTGTAAACCTGAGAAGAGCCGAGGCATGCATTAGAAGCCATGGTGAAGACACGAGTCTATGATGTGTCAACCCCATGCAAATATTAATCTTCAATACCTTTTCTTTTGTTAGTATGGGCTGCGCCTAATTTTTTTCTTAAATTTTGGGTTTTTTGACTTTATGCACCTCTCATGGGGCCTCCATTCACCCGCACCCTACGCCACCCCATCCCAAACAAGAACATCGTCTGCCCGAAATACATTTGCAAGATTTGTGTTAAGAGTTTAGTAATAAAACCCTTCTTCTTCTTCTTCTTCTCAATTTTCTATATATGTATATCTGCATGTGAATGTATTAGGGTTCTTCATCAGTTTTATCTATCTTTTGCCTTTCTTCTGTACTGAGTCTGGTCTGCAGCTTGCTTTGAGGATTTGTTACCTGCTCTGGTGAATGGATAAGGTATTAATTTTTTTCATTTTCGAAATCACAATTTCGTAGCAATCCATGAGTATATTTTTAGTAATTAGTATACGGTACTGGACAGTATAATGAACGAACGAGATTTTAACACTATTTTTCTTCGTTAATATTGTCATCTAGAAAGTTCGAAATCGTACTTACCAAACATGAATTGTGTTCTCTACATGTTACGGTTAAACCAAGTTTTTGTTCTTGTATTTTGTATAGTGTATTTCTCGAAATTTTTGGCAAGTTTATTATCTGAAATTATCAATGGCGAATTTGGTTAATTTATATTTATGTATTTCTCGAAGAATAACGTTTATCACTATGGAATAAATTCTTGGTAAATCATAAAATTTGGAATATATATATATATATAGATTACAATTAGACCAACTCTTGCATATTATGAGGTTGAGACAATTGAAAATTGTACAGATTTGTATGAATCAAAAGCCAAAGTTTATCCGATGATTTGGAGATTATCGTTGATCTAGTTTTATATAAAAATAAAATTGTTTAAAGAAGTTGTGTAGGAGAACTTTCGTTCTCGAGTCTCGACATTCTTGTTCCCTCTTTTCTGATCAGGCCTAATTGATTAATTGTTTTTGCACCTGGAATTTAAATTTATTTGGATGCTCTGATAGGATATATCACTGACTCGTGAATGATTTTATTTAGTCTTTGCTGATATTATTCAATAGAATTTATCTTCGGAGGAAGTATGAAGTTTAACTGGTTTACTAGCTTCTTATTTTTATTGAATTCCTTCAAAAAAAAAAAGAAAAATCTGATATTTTTCATAAAAAAACTTAGTAAAATTTAATAAAAGGAGCTGTTTCGTATTTATAATTTTTCCAGCTTATGGTTTGATTCTGTTCTTTTACTACTATTTATATGCATGAATCATAGATTGGCGTAGCTAAGCTACTCATAATACCAGAGACAGAATATAATCCATGTAAAATTGAATTTGTTTCAGCGAAATCTTAATCACGGAGATTTATAGAAGACTTCTGATTACCAAAAACTCAAATTGGTCACCGCAGATTCTGACATCATGTCCCAAGGAGAGGTGGAATCGCAATTGCAATCAAGTGAAAAGCAGTCGAAGAATCAGCCATCTCCATCACTAGGCAGACAATCGTCTATATACTCGCTCACCCTCGATGAGTTTCAACACACTCTTTGTGAAAGTGGCAAGAACTTTGGATCCATGAATATGGATGAATTTCTCAACAACATATGGACTGCCGAAGAAAATCAAGAGCAAGTGAATGTGCATTCGGACACTGGAACCAGTGTACATGCGGCACAATCTTTCCTACGTGAAAGTAATAATCCGACAGATAAGGGCATAGTTAAGCAACAAAGCTTATCAAGACAAGGCTCTCTCACTATTCCAGAGCCTTTGTGCAGGAAAACAGTGGATGAAGTGTGGTCAGAGATTCATAAGACTCAACAGCAGAACAATAATGAGCATTATGTTCAGAATCTCGATTCTACTCAGCGACAGTCCTTGTTTGGAGAGATGACATTAGAAGATTTCTTGGTTAAAGCCGGGGTTGTACGGGAACAGGATCGGCGCCCTGCACCACCTCAGCAGCAGCCATGTGGAATTTACCCAAATAGCAACAATCATACGGTTGGACAAACTTTTGCTGCTAGGCCTATGAGCAATGTTGGTGGTGGTGCTGTAGCTGTTGCTAACGTTGCAACTTATCAAGCGCTTCCACAGAGTAGCATTGGAGAGGTGGCGGGTTTCCCGGGGGAGATGAAAACAGGTCCTGCTTATGCACCGCCACCATCGGTAGTCTACAGCGGGAGAATGGGAAATGGCAGTGGAGTAGGATACGAACAAGGGCAGGGCCTCGGGATGGGTTCACCCATAAGTCCGGTTTCATCGGACGGATTGTGTACAAATCAGGTGGACAGTGGTAATCAGTATGGATTGGATATGGGTGGTGTGAGAGGAGGTCAGAAGAGGATCTTAGATGGTCCGGTCGAAAAGGTGGTGGAGAGGCGACAACGAAGGATGATAAAAAATCGTGAGTCCGCTGCACGATCTAGAGCAAGGAAGCAGGTATTCATCTTCTTCAGCGTGCTATGCTCTCTAACTCATCAGAATATGGAAGTATTAGACACAGTTGATAAGGTTTCCATAATTGGCTTAGTAGTTGACATCTGACAATTTCCTATTTCATGTTTATGTTGTTTTGGCAGGCTTACACTGTTGAATTGGAAGCCGAATTGAACCAGCTGAAAGAAGAGAACACGCACCTAAAGATGGCTCTGGTATTCAAATATTTTCAGAGTAGGCTTATTTTGATATTGTAAAGTTAATTTGAACTCAATTCCACAAGCCTTTTCATTTTAATCCATCTTGGATTAGTTTCATTTGACATAATATGGTTACTTTTGGATCCTGTTTACTCACTATTAACCTTTATGCTCTGAACAGGCCGAGCTAGAGAGGAAAAGAAAACAGCAGGTAAATGATCTTAAAGATCTACATTTTTGTGTATTGTTAAATTGCTGCTACGAGATAAACAAATTCGTTCCGCTCTATTAGTTTAAGCCTTTAGATGAGAAGGTTGAATGTAAAATAGCTTATACATTCTCTATCCGGTGAGAGTACCCAGATTTTGCAAATGCTGTCAACATGTGCCAACTCGAGTTCTGAGTTTTGACAATGATTACTGAAGTCATGTTTCTGATTAACGTTTTTGTTCTTCGGTAACTTCGTACACAGTTCTTTGAGGAAGCAAGAATGAAAGCGCAGGTCCATACCAAGGCCCGCAAAGCTAATGAGAAATTAAGGACGTTTAGAAGAACCCTGAGTTGCCATTATTGAAGCAAATCTGTCATGTTTGCATCAGAAACTAAATACAGTTACAAGCTGAGACATGGGGGGAAGGCCTGCGTCATGCAATTTTCTTGTTCTTTGAAGAAAGGAAGCTTGAGGAACAACCTAGAAACTCTGCATTGCTTATTTTTGATAAATGGAGTAGTTTTCAATAATCGAGTCGTAATATAGCAAGTCTTCTAGTTATAGTTGGAATAACATTGGTTTCTGTAATGTTGTGTGATTCGGTATGTTGCAATAGTTTTGTACATTTTTGGTTTCTGCTCGGATTTGAAATTTGGCTGAAATCTGGAGGAACACTACAGGTAAGAGAGCTTTAAAGGGACTCTCCAGTAGCAGTAAACAGTATCTATCTTGTTTTCAATGTGTTGTAGGAAGGCCATACATGGAGACACAGAGCAACTATTAGGTGTGTGACTTGTTTGGGAGACTTGAAAAGCTGGTTTTGATAAAAAGGAGAACCCACAAAAAAGTGGTGGGATCCACAAAATGAGTGGTGGATAATAGGTTCAATGTAACATGTGGATTTTCATTGTCGATTTTGACTTTAGAAATTTTTTAAGCTCTTCTAAATAAGCACTTAGTTCAGAGAGTCAAATTAGATCTACCTTCTCTTGTGCCACTCGAATCTTTAATTTATAGCTACATCCACTGGACTATCATTACAGTCGAAATCACAATGGAATTTGTTAATTTTGGTCTACTTTTTTATAATGTTCTAACAAATAGCATTAATATTCTGAAAAGGGAGCTTCTTGTCGCAAGATATGTGCTGATAACTTGGGTGATAATTTTCTCAATTCTCCAACGGTGTCACTAAAATTTATGGTCAATCAACATCTACTACTTATTTTCGTGCAATACAACACAATCTTACTGAGGAATCCGTGAAATTATTTACAACAATGATCCAGTATTGTCACCTGGAATTTGTCATATGCAGAGGGAAAAGGCTCTGATGGTAGAGGTATGGCTTATTGACCGTGTATTTAATTCTTCTTGAAGTCCGATTCCCGGTGCCATAACTGATGAGATATATATATTTTTTTGATAACTATGGATGTCCGGGCCAACTTGCGTGTACCTCGACTAATTCCACGGGGCCCTGAAGTTTACAGCCGGCTATTCACCTCGGTGGCCATGAGGGGACTCGAACTGGTGATCATTGAGGAACAAACCCAAGGTCTGACCAATTGAACAACCCCTCAGGGTTAACTAATGAGACATTTCTGCTCCGTATGGATCGATATTTCCTCCGTGTGACTATCTGAAGAAATCAGAAAGCTTGGAACCAAGGGAAAGGGCTAATGGTAAATTCCATTACCCAAATATTATCCTTCAACGTCCATTCATTGATATTTCTGATGAAAATCCTATGGTAAATAAAGGCTACTTCCAGTAGATACCATTAAGTTGTAGAATCACGTCTTCTGTCTCCATATCAAATGGTAGAATCGTTTATTGTTCCAGCCAGAAGAAAGTGACCAAAAAATAGTTCCATTCATGCATAGAGGGTACTAATCACCACAGACAATCGCCTATTCTTATCCAAAAACCAGCACTTACAACCTCGCCATCTCTAAATGTAAAAACTTAATGTCCCATACAATCCCATCAGCACCCAAGTGTTGATCAAACAAATGAACAATTCTGTATTCACCTGAACTAAGAAGGTATCCAAACCTGATATTTTTAATGATTTAGTATTAGAACAATATGGGACACGCACAAAAGCTCAGGTTAAACATAGAGTACATGCAGCACAAGATACTAAGCCGACCACAAGATATGAATGTATGAACAAGTCCACCAAAAACTTCTTTATCTGTGATGTTTCCCTCCAAGTCTACAGAGGTCAGTCCAATGGTTGATTTACTTTTACTCACTTCTCCATTTTCATCTGAAACATATTTTTGGATCAGTAAGAACGGTTCTGCTTTGACCATTTGATGTGTTCTGCAGCGAATTCCGTATCTCGAGTTATTAAGTTGTCATTCTTTTGAAACGCACCTGAACTTGCACAGAATCTTGGCAGGAAGTTTGGAGAGTATTTCGATGATTAAATCACATGAGAAATCACTAACTCCTTTGATTTCCGTCGTACACCTCTTCTGTCCCCCTCGATGTGGTGGATTCTGATCAATGTCCTGAATGCGGCACTGGATCCATCGCCATACTGTCAAGAGGCTTCTTGTTCTATGTAGCTAAGAAACAAGAGTACTATTGAAGTTTCCAAGAACTCTTGCTGAAACTTCCTATGATGTTGAACTTTCAATAAAATAGAAAAGGAATGTCTGTAAGTAATAAAGTTGAGTAGGCAAGAGAATGATAAGAAACTCGACAAGTCCTAAATCTATTTGGTTCATTATCACAAATGCTGAAACACATTATAATGAAAGGTCAGACTAGCGAAACAACCCTTTTGTATCAGAGATTAACATAATAATCCTTTAGAGAAACCACCTTTTAGACAATAGATCGATCCACGGCATGAGAGAGAGAGAGAGAGATGAGAAGGAGCATGTCGAGAAAATAGACCTGAGATGATAGCCATGACACCAAGACAAATTATTTGAATCAATAGATGGAAAAATCTAGAAGTCCTACATAAGTTGAGGTCCTTTACATTTAATAAAGCCCTTCAAGCGTGATAACAGTACCTCAACTACTTGAGCAACACCAAGTTTAATATCTTGACAACAATCGCATAATCGTCTCAACCTTTTGGCATTCATATCATTTGATTCTGAACATTCAATTTTTGAATTCTATTTTACATTTTCAAATATCACACATGGTATGCCCTTTCTCTATTCATATAACTTCCTCCAATTTATTGTCCACGCTCTCATTTTCCCATCAGTTTTGCATTTCACTGTTTAGTCTTCTTCAGTTAAGAATGCAATTGACAAAAAAACCTCACCTATATTGAGAGATATATTGAATATAAATATTTAAGTATGTATGTCTCATATGAAATCAAATGCGCACCAAGGTGCAACTAATGCATAAAGAGCTATCAATCATATAATCATCCCAAAGTCAGAAAAAGGGGGAAACGTTGTCAGATAACTCTGTCACTCTGTGTCCAACAAGAAGAAATTGAATAACAAATTCTCATAAACCCATTGATCATCTTGATGTTCTTCAATGTTCACTCAAAGGCAGTGTAGTTCATCTTCAATATATTTCAGCTATGTCTACTGAAAAGATGGAAAAATCGTTCCCTCATTTTCAAACAATATCCAGTAACTTTTAACATGGTGCATGTAGGCATCTTCTCCCTCTTTGCACAAAACAAGTGCTGCCTCCCTTTGAGAGTCCCAGAAAAGGATTAATATTTTCACATTGCCAAAATTATTTTTATTGAATTGTTTTTGGAGATGTGAAGACACCAATCATCCATAAATTGTCCCATCTTAAAGTCCATAGGGTACAGTTATAATCCAGAGACGAAATCTGAGATTGAAATGGAAGTTTTAAGTAATGAACAATACAAGAAACAATTAAGCCATTTAATGTGTCCAGTCAAACGTAATATTTTATTTTTCTCTATCCTATCAACCGACTGGAATACATCTATATTGCAAATAACAGTAGTGTAAAAGCAAAAAAGTAGAAGGTGGTGGTGGTAAAAGAAAGCAAAATAGGAGGAGAAGCATGAAAAATATAAGAAACAACATAAATTGTAGATTGAGAATCCTACCCAACAGAAACAAGAACATCATGCAAACTTTAAAAGTCATCAAGGAAAGGGAATAAGATAATCACGGTGTCCAAGCATAAGATGAATTCGTACACAGAATATGATTGATGTATAACTGACAAAAATTTATCAGGGAAGGACAACACCAAAGACATTAGAAGAACCTCCACCGAAGGTCATGTAGATGCATCCGCAGTACAATGTCTATTCATATTCGAACTGAACCTCTACTTGTAGATACTTCCTCATGAGTCTTACAACACATGATGTGAAGTTGGCTAGCATATTACATTCTTCATGGGTTTTGGTCTCTGAAACAACCCCATGGATGACCAACTTCCTGAGACGTGGACACCTTTCTAGAAGTCCGGACACCCAATGGGAGAACAGTTCGCTAATTACTGTCCACCCAAGTTCCAACACAATGACATTCTTCAAAACAAATGAGCCTTGCAATCCATACTGGATTGCTGCTTCTCGTAGATCATAACTCAGGGATAGATGACCTAATAAAGGGAAACATGAAGAAATAGTCTCTATATCAACCACCTCGTCCTCATCATCGAACACAACGCCCCAAAGCCTAAGCTTTCTCAACTTTGATGATCTTGAGATCATATGATGAAACTTTGCCCACATGATCGTGAAATTGCTCACATCCACAACCTCGAGATTTTCAGAACTCTCACCAATATCAAGATGGATGACACTAACATCATCTATCTTCAGGAACCTTAACATCCCCTTGCCGACTAGCTCAAAAACCTCAAGCGTGCAATCTTTCAAGTGCAACTTCTCCAAGCTATCTGCCTCCAATATGAACTTATCCAAGCTGATTGCTTCAACATAAATATCCTTCAATGAGTTACTGCTCAAATCCATTGTTGCCTGTGGATCTGACATAACAATGTCTAGACTGACAAGAGTCAAGACTTCAACTTTGGGACAGGCCGCGAGAAGAAGACTCAGATCTAAGGCCGATATGCTGACATAGCTCAGGGAAAGAGATTTCAAGCAGGGAAATTTCTGACAAGTAGGTTCAACCCCTGTAATAGTATTGTGAGATAAAGCCAACACTTCAAGCTTCTGCCTACCACATTTTTCAAGAATGTTGATGTTAGGGTTTGTCCTTACATTATAATGCAGCTGGCGCAAGGTTTCCCTCGTGTACATGAGCCAAGCAATAACCGGGGCAGCAGAGAATTCATCCACATCATCCAAAATTATTGTAAGGCACTGCAGTCCATTGATTTGGAATATCGTTTGAGTAATGAGTATCTCAAGTCTGCTAGTGGAGAACTCGTGATACAGAGACCAATCATTAGAATTAAATTTGAGAGTATGGAGATGATTCCTCCATGCTTCTTGCCATTTCCGACAAGTTGCAGATGCAATCACAACATCTCGGGCAGCCCCAAGTCGTGATAGTATGTTCCCAATGACCTCTACTGGAAGATACTCCATAACTTAAAAAATAAAACAGCTGACAGAAAGGATTGGGAAAATGCTAGAGCCCTCCAAATTCAAACAAATCGCTGAAAATTTTCAATTCCAAAGCAGAATAATCCAAAAGCCAAATGATGATTATCCAGGGATTTCAAGTCTACCATCTGATTCATTCTCAAGTAACCTATACGAACTTGGGCGATTGATCAAACCCCAAATAGATAATTACCAAACCTTGGTAACCAAGATTAATATTCTTAAAATATCAACGTAGGAAAGCGTATTTCTTTATTACCCGTTTATCAAACTGACTTCACCAATGCTCTTCAAAATATTCCTGCATTAAAAAAAAATATCAAGAAAAAAGCATAAATAAAAATACTGCAGTTTATAATATCATAACACATACAAAATCAAAAATAGTAAACGACGATAACAATTAAAAAAAAAAAGGAATATAAATAAGGATATCTCACCTAAAGAATCGAATGATAACTAATGCAATCCAAACCAGAATCCGATCGATAAAGAAAATCAAATCATGTATAAATTATATCTATAATTAGAGAGAGAGAGAGAGAGAGAGAGAGAGAGAGAGTGGAATCTGATTCGCTGGAAGGGTCAAGCTTTCGTGTATATGTAGAACTATACACGTAGTGAAGGTTCGTGCAAAAAGTAGTGCATACGTGATGAGACACACGTAAATTTGTGCATTACAGCTCCAACCAACCAACCAATCAATCATATGGCTAATGGCATCCCCTCGATGAAAAAGAACATACAATTACCCAATTTCAGGATATTTCCTGGGCTGGACAAAGCCCTAATTTAAGGAACTTTTTCGAGACGGAGACCGGAGGCCAGGTCAATGATATCAAATGAGAAATTAGTCATTTCCTGTTAGTCAATATTTCATTACTCAAAATTGTCGTTGTGTTTTGAACATAAAACATTTTTGTCATGTTCAATATTCCACTCAACTACTAGAGATGAATATATAAAGGAGAAATTGCCTTTGGAGTCCTTCAGTTTTTCAAAAAATACAATTTGATTTCGAATCTTCATTTATTTTTATTTTTATTATTAATTTTGCAGTGAAATCCATACACTTTGTTTAAAAAAGCAACCGAGAGGCCATTGAATAATTTTCATCCATAGCTCTGTTAGTTCAACCCTTGGTTCATTTGGTTGATACGATGAAGCTTTGGATGAAAATCATCCAAATATCGTTCAGTTGCACATTTAACCAAAGCTTAGGGATTACGTTGCCAAAAATTGAAGATTCGGGGTTCAGTTGCACTTTTTGAAAAAGGTTAAGGACCAAAAATGCAATTTTTACTTCATCAATTTTCAACCACACATTTAATCGACTTTTATCAAAATCTACTAAAAGACTTATTTTTAGCAAAACCAAATAGAGGCTAAATAATGTTAACTCTTAAGCGCATTTGTCGCATATGTGCTTGTTTGAGTTTCATTATAAGTTACTAAAATTATAATATGATATAAATAGGCAATAGATATTCTGGGTTATTCTTCTTGTGGTTCAATTTCAAGCATTTTAGACTTTTAGTTTCTTATTGGATGCAGAAAATGAATGACAAAATATTGCGATAAACTTTGTGTTTGTGGATAAAATCCTTGATAAGAATTAGAATGATAGTTCATGCTCCTTGGGAGGTCCTAAATAAATGATTACTTGAATCGAGGTAATTAACGATGTGGAGTAGTCCATTTTAAAATTCCAAGTGTTTTCATACGTAGTGTCATTCTATACTCCAACTATTAAAATCTGAGTTCTTATACAAGCCTTTGTACTTTTACCATCTTTGTTAATTCAAATGTTTGCATTGCAGTACACATTATATAATGTGTTGTCCAATCCGTTAATTATATAATTTTTGTATAGAAAATCAGAATGCTTTCAAGTATCAACCGCAGCCAATTTCTCAACATTACTTTCTTCCTTGGTGTATGAAGGTGCATCTTTTTTTGAGAAATTTGGCCAAACTTAACGTTGTTAGATAAAAAAGCGTTTTCTATCGCCAACACTTAAAATCTGACTCATTAAATTTCTTTGGTTTTCTTCTATCATATTGAGAAGTGTAGTACCAAAAGTTGTCATTTTTGAAATACAATTGGAAGATAAACCATAAGAAAGGGTAAAAACAGAATAAACCAAAATAAATCAAATTCATTTTAAGATTGTTGGTACTGGAGTATAAATTTATCTTTCGAACAATCTGAATATACAAACACTAACAAAACTACCTTAATGTAATTTACACAACGTAACAATATGATCAACAGGATCATCAAATTAATTTGAGCTCATCGACTTTACGATATTTTCTTAAAACAAATTTGTTGCCTTCAAAGATGCTAGAGGTGTTTAGCAATCGTTTCTCAGGATAGAACGAATTCCATCTTCTATAAAAGCAGCACAGCAATTCGCAGGAGTTCCAACAAACTCAATGAAGTGTTTTTAATTCGAGAACAATATCAGAACGAGAGAAAAATATAATGAGATTCAAAGCAGAGAAAGTTTGAAATGAAAATTGTGTAATTATTCTGGCAGCGGAGCAGGCTATTTATAGACTCATTTATGGCTATTCGAACATCCTTTAAGCTTTTTCAAAACAGTCGTCACTGTTCTGACAACCTTCAAACTCGAACAGACAACACTGTTCAGTACTGCTTCTGTTAAGTCGGTTAACAGACGATTGTTACGTCGATTAACAGACGATCCAGACCAAAAATTACCCAAAAATAAGCCAATCAAAATTAATTTCATTAAGTACTCAAGAATTTGATTAATTACAATTTGACTCAAAAAAATTTGTTCAAAAAGTTAATATATTATAGGGACTCACTCGGCGGCGGCGCGCGTGTGGGCTTAAGACCAAATTCAATAGGATATTAGTCTCTCATTCCAAAGACTATTGATGCCCTTGAGGCCTAAATTTCCAATACATACAACGCCAAAAGCTTCCTAACTTTCCTATGTGAGATAAGTGTCCGGCAATTTTTAATAAATCAAATTCTTCACTAGTTTATAGTTTCAAGTGTGTTACTTTGATATTAAATATTTCATTCAATTCAAAATGGTTTTCGATAAATAAATATATCACTTTTATCACCTCGTGGAGTAGAACGTGAATATACTTGATCCCGTTAAAATCGAAGTCTTGGTCCTACTAAAATTGGAGCTCAAAGTTGACCCAATTCACTAGTTAATAAACCATTTCCATCAGAGACATGGTCTTTGCAACTCTTACTTCAGTTTATCCTATGCAAAATATTTTTTCTTGCACAAACATACCCGATGTGTTTATGATAATCTTTGACATTCTTCCTTCGATTATTGATTCGTAGCAAAATGAGCTTCAATGTCCGTCCGAAATGTTATTGTCAGATTGAACACCATCGTCATTCTTGGCTAATTATTGTGCAAAGTGAATAGTCGAACATGTAGCATGTGAAGTCATGAAGAGACTTTGGCAATTCACCGATCTACCCGGGTGCACGTGGCAATTTTTTTAATCGTGCTGATGATATTCTTTAGCAAGGAGTTTATGAATTGGCTTGCACACGAGAATATAAATAAATAATTGTCTCATCTCTAATGCGTAAACTGTTTGTTCAACAATATGTTGTCATCAATTCCTACGTCGTTCTTATCCCTCTCCATGAACATTTGTATAAAATTACTTGTGTACATGGAATGAAGTCTAAACTTGTGTGTGTACACAAGTGATTTAAATAAATAAACGTGATATCTCTAACGACTTAATATTCTAGACAGAAGTGATTGTTTGAATATACATATAACCTCAATTCAAATTTGATATCAGCGTATCATTCTTTTAGTAAAAAAGTACGATTCTATTTTGCATGTGATGGGATTTTTCCGGGGGAATAACATAGAAGAAAGCAGCCAAATTTGAAACATAGTAACCATCTTTTCGAAAGTTAGCGGACAAGATTTGGAACTTTACAAAGATATGACTTGATTCGACTTGCAAATATGGGCATGGTAGGAGACATGTCCATGTGGGATGAAGAGGCTGAAATGTTTGTTCCCATTATTTCTTGCATTTAATGGGTATTGATCGTTTCATCTCTGCTCATTTAACAGAAAAATGAAATGGTGGTGTAGTAATCACCGATCAGTATGTCAAATAGATTGTCATATCAATTTTTTCGTGAATGTAACTCGACGTTATTTTGAACCAATAAAATATCTCCTTAACCCCACAACAAGAAGTCTCGTACTCATTGAATGATAGAAACAAGGTGCGTGTAAAACCCCAAATATACCCTCCCTATATCAAATTCTCCGTCTTAATTGGCCCATAATGAACATCAACCTCACAATATCCTGCCCAAAAATCCTTCAAATGAATCATCTCCTCCAGAAACCCCTTAAGGGCCCTCTCTTTCTCTCTCTCTTTTCATTGTCCTCTCTCTTTTCATTGTCAATGCCTCAGAGTAATACCACACAATTTGGAATCATATTATCAAAAAATGACACGCACACTTGTCGCTTACCATACAAAACAATACACTTTTTGTTGATACGTGTAAACTAACATTCCATTCATTTACATCGTTTCCTTCCCACACAATATAATCTTCAACCACCAGAGAAAACTATTGGGAATAGAGTGAGTGTTTCTTCATTCATGCAAGAAGAATCCATGAAAACGAGTACTCCTCAGAACTCCAATGAGTCTGAACCAGAAAATATTATCCCACCATTTCCATCAGAAACCAAGGAAGTTCACAGCCCAGAGAAGCCATTTTCTGTTGAAGAAACAAAGAGCAAATCTGAAAAAGAAAACCAATCCAATGAAACAGAAACAACGCCCCAAGATTCTTCACTAAGCATGCAAATGAAGTTGAAGGATACATGTACTGAGCCTGTGGTAGAAGATAGTGGACGTGAGAGACTAAAGAGACATCGGGTCGAGGTTGCCGGTCAGGTTCGGATCCCGGATATATGGGGACAGGAAGATTTACTCAAGGATTGGGCTGATTGCACTGCGTTTGATGCCTCATTGATGAATAACAATATCATGTCCGCTCGAGCTTCTTTGGTTAAAGAAGGAAGAACAAATTCCGGCAGATTGAGAATAGGGAGTTAAGCAAATTATTTTTCAAGTTCTCGAGTCTTTTCTTCCTTTTGATGTGTTTTGACCATAATTTGCATATGTCCATGTTAATATCATTAAAATACAATTTTGACGAGAATAATTAACAATTTAATACAGATTGTTGCATGACAGTTGAAGGAAAATCACAATTTTATTTTATTTTTGCTATTTCCTTTTGCTGCTTGACCAGAAAAGTGACACCAAGTGAAATCCATATAATAGATATTGATTAATGCTTCTCTTTCTTATTTTCTCTACTTCTTTCCCTTCATTTTTTCCAGAGTTGGACAGGGAAGGTACGATGAATAGACATGATTGAACAAGACAAAAGAAAATCATCTCTTATCCTTAATCACGTCGAGTTAGGATGAACTTAATGAATTGTAACACAATGCAAAGTTTTTATTGCATTATTTGTAAAGATACATCCATAGATAATGAAGTAGAATGAAGTGTATGATTATATCCAAACTCAATATCTTAGTGAGAAGTTGTACATTTAATTCCCAGTTGTTGGGGGTATCAACTTATAATAATTCCATGTAAACATAAATTATACAGAGTTCCTCTTAGTATTTTGCCAAACAGGCTGAAAATTACAAGGATACGTATTTCTACAACACAGCATAATTTACAAAAATGTCGGACGTATTATTCGAGTAGTAGAGCTGTAACAGTAGCTTCTCATTTCAGGAGGATGAAGTCAGTTGCCATATCTTGACTGTTCCATCATCACTTGCAGAGGCAAGAAGTGAATTTTCCTGTCAGATAACAAGAAATTCATCAGACATGAAGCACACAAACATCATCATTGCACAATTCTGTATAATACATTACACAGGCATCAAATGAACTCCAATACAAATTCAAAAAGCGAAGTAAATTACAGCATTCCATTAATTTGTACAGGTCGATCAATTCAGAAGCAAGCAACAATGCCTAATGTCTCGATCTGAATATTCGACTATATGTAGGTGCTGATGAAAAATTATACGAGGCATAGCAGCAGAGCATATTAAAAGGATGGTGGCATCTATATAGCAGCCCTCCCAGGGCTGTCTGGGCTGCTGTTACAAACCTTTATTTTCTTGTCCTGTAGTTTGGAGAGAGTGCACTAAATAATTGACAAGAATAGGCATATTAATTTTCATGTTCAGAAGATTAAAGCTTCTGGCTTATTTATGGGTCTCAAGTCCATAAAATAACCCTGATAAAGAGCATTTTCAAGATATGATCTTTCTCTATATCTCAGCCCACCCACCAGATTATTAATCAGTTATGCAACCTGAATTCAAAATCCGCATGCATGGAATATGTATCTATATATGTCAAGATATTTACCGTGGAACTCCACTGCACAGAGTTTACATCCATGTCATGAGCCTTTTCTTTCTTCAAAAGCAATTTGTATGAAGGTTCACCAACCTGCAATTAAATACAAGAAAAAATAACAATATGAAAGCAGGAAAAATTGTAAAGATAAATTTCTAGATATTCTGGAAAACTAACATAATGAAATTGGTTATTGTCTCAAGTTTTTGGGATTATCTTAACCTCTTTCTTCCACCTATTTTACATGCATGCGCTCCTACTCTAGTTTAATTTGGACATGGATTCCTATCAGGAATGAAGATAGGGAGGACAGAAAAAAAAAATAATAACAATAATAATAATACACACACACACACACACAGAGTGGGTTATACAGAGAAAAAAAAGATTTTCATAAAAATTTTATTTTTTATTTTTACTTTGAAAAATGAATTGGGCCCCAGGCCCTCGTTCCTATTTTACTCACTCTATGCATGCCCATTTGGAGTTTAAAAAATAAGAATTTCATTTATCGGGGAAAAAATGAAAGTGCATAGATGGTGATTTTAGAGATACTTTGGGAGACAAAAGTAGAGCAAGTACATTATGTGGCAACAAACAGCGGAAATCCAGAGAGTAAACCCAAATATTCACTTGGGTGAAGATAATGAATGATGCACAGCAAAATTATATATAACTTAAACACAATAAGGTATTCCAGGAGCTTACCCTGAATATTTTAAATTAATATGTAACTAATGAAGCAAATATAAAACATACTAAGCACCCGTTTGGCATGGCTTTTGAGAAGCCAAAAAGAGCTTTTGAGAAGCCCAAAAGCTGCTTTTGGACATCTTTCATTAATTTTATAAAAGTGTTTCTTTTAGTTAAAAGAGCTTTCAGAGGAAGCTGGCCTAATGTCGCTTCTAAAAGTTCTTCCGGAAGAAAAAACTCTTTTAGAAATTAGTTTCCAAACACTAATTAAGGTAGCTTTCGCAAGGAGCTCTCCTACAAAAAGTAAAAGCAAAAGCCATGCCAAACAGGCCATAAAATTTTTTGGAGCTTTCTCCACTTATATACGCATACAAACCCAGATATATACATGATACAGCTGTGCACAGACAAGGAAAGATGACAAATTATGTAAACAGCAAACAAATCTATATTGCACAGAATCAAGGACTGGTGATTGTTGCATGAAGCTAGAGGCAGGACTGAAAAGATTACATATTCATTGGTTGCCCACTAATGAGAGATTCATGAAAGAAAAAAGACATTAACAAAACTAAAACAAGGAGAGACATCGGTTTATACCAATCCATCTATACTCTCAACAAATAAGCGGATAGCATCAGCAGCTGCTCCACTGGCAAGTATCCCTTCCCTGTAATGTCCACATGATTCAAATGACCATAGCACAAGTCTCAGTATAATTTATAAATGGGACAAACATGAACCAGGAAAATTAAAGACCGTCAAGATATGTTAATACATATTAACACCACAGAACGCGAGAAATAGGTGAACAACAAGGTGAATGCATCTTGCTACCTTGACCAATGGACAGAAAAAATTGTCCGATCGTGATAGCCAGAGAGAGTACAAAGATGTGCCCTGACAAAAGCAAAAGAAAATGTATTATCCATTTGCATATTGGTGATCAATTGGAACGAGACAACAAAATTTTCATACACATCTGAAAAACAATGGGATTTAAACCTTCACATTTAAAGTTACTCAACTGATCTTAGATTGTATTAAAGGGACCAGATCTAGTAGGGAGTTAAGTTGGTTCAGCACTTGGAATTAGGTAATGAAAAAGGTTTTGAACCAGTGGGGTTTAACTTTGTAAAGGGCTGCGAATGGAGCACAGGAGAAGAGGAAGATCCATATAGCTGACCCTTTATAAGTGAGAGATAAGGGTTAATTGAGTTTAGTTGTTCAACATTATATAAGATTAAGATCCCTCCGTTATACCAATATGTCCTCTACCACCTCTATTTTCTTTCCATTTTTATTTTTTTTTGGATTAATGATCAAATTTAGTACTGAACTGTAAAAAGTGCATTTAATTTTGCAGAACGAAGATATACCATGAACAATATACTATCATTAGAGAGACTTGTGATGAAGCAGCCAAAAAAAAAAAAAAGAGCTTGGTGATATGATCAGGTCAGAATGCTAGACATAAACAGAAAAACACCAACATTTTGGAGTTTTATAATGCAAAACATTAAAGTTCCCTTGCATAGTGAAAATATTAGTAGTTTTTGAAGACTTGAGCTACCTTGTCTAAAAGCTTAAGCTTTTAAAGTGGGAATGAATTTATTTATTTAAATCTTGTCTTCATCGCACCCCTCACATGATTCATTTTAACATCATAGACCTGAGACATGCCCAATTTTCACAAATGAGGGTAGGTAAAAGTTGGCCCCAATACATTTGCATACTTTGATATCAAAATACCGGACACAAACTACAAATTAGGTTTTAAGAAACATATAATACAGAGAATAAGCAGAATTTACGTAGTCTGCCAGTTGAAATGAGGCAAGTAAAATGGTTTTGAGCCTATGTCGTTTAAATTGAACAGGCGACCTTGAAACAAGGGGGAAGGGGAGGATCCATGTGGCCAAACCGCGAAAAGTATGAGATTAATTGAGTTATAAATTGAATTGAGTTCAGTTCTTCCTTTCCAGTTTACCCAATGTGTTCTCTACCTGTCTGCCACACCTATATTTTCCTTAAGGGAGGGGTGGAGGAGAAGATATTCGGGACATGATGGGTGTTGATCTTTGTGCATGACGCAATGACATGGCACTGACATATTGGAGCATATGGAAACACATAAATAAGGACTTAAAAAAAGGATTCAAGGCAACAAAATAGCTAAAGAAAAATACTGCAATGCAACTTTTAATAATTCTTGATACATTTTGGCTTGAGTTGTAATATCAACTAATTTAATTTGGGTGCAGCAAACAACCTAACATGGAAGCAACATTGTGAAAGCATATCTACAACTAACAAAAGCAATTCGACACTAAGCCTTATTCCGATAAACTTGAAATTGCTGATGTTATATTCAATCCAAAGTTATCTCTTTCAAATGTCAGGTGAAATCAAGCATTATACAAGGACCTCAAACCACATTAATTTGATCTACCAATTGGTATACTTTATCTTCTAACTTCTTCTCCTAGCTATGTTCCCCTTACACTTTCTTGGATTGTTAGTCATTTGAAAAGTGCTAAACAGTAAAGCATGCAATCCTTTCATACAAGTGGATAAAATAGAGAGATAATAAGCATTTCATCATTCAAGACTCTGAAGTATGTTTAAAAATCATTTTGTTTTCAAGAATCTAGTCACTAAAAGGTAAATCTTTGAAAGAAAAAAAATATATCTCAAAACACGCAAAGATGGACATAGCTGATATGCAGCTCACCAAGTTACATTTCCATCTCCCGAATGCGTGCTCATAATGTCAGAGCCCCATACCTTAACGGTAAGATCATCACTGCAAAATCAATATAACTGCATTAAAAGTGTCTTCACAACTACCGTTCTTTGTCATGATTGAAACAGACTTATAAGACGCTGCCTTAAAGTTATCATTTATATATTAAATGGGAACAAGTAAGCATTATGAAGCGCCGTGCATACCTACAGGAAACCATTTTGTCTCCATTGGCATTAAAAGATAAAGCCCAGACAGTAGATGTGTGTCCACTGAAAATGCAGGAAACCATTTATATGAGACTTTGAAAATTACGGAAATCTCCATCACTTATTGATGCACAATCATACATTTAAAGCAATGCAAAAAATTATAGGTTAGTGAAGCACAGGACACGCAACCATGAAATATCAACAAGTACCTGTTCGATTCACCTAAAGTTTGAACACAATGCCAATCATCACTGTCCCCATCCTCTGCCCAGACCTACAGGAGTTAGACGTGTCTTATTTAGCAATACCCAATATGTTGAAGAAAACAGAAGGTCTATTGATAAATATGGCAGGTAGACTAACGAACTTGAATATCTTAAACGCAGTTAAAATATTCCTTTTTCCTTTTTCTATAAATACCTTAATAGTGTTGTCGTAACTACAAGAAAACAAAATATCCATAGAGGGATGCCATTGGACCATTTTAACATCTTGAGTGTGTCCCTGCAACACTGAAACGCAATCAAATTCATTATGGGGTAATAATTCCCATATCCACACTGACTTGTCTCGTCCACAAGTTGCAAGAAGCGAGCCAGATGCATTCCAAGAAACACTTTTAACTTCATTTTCATGACCCTGATGCAAATAACGTTTTTTATCATATTAGGACAATCAGAACCATGTTTAATCGAATAAATAAAAGACGTCAGAAAACAAAGATACAAATATTACAGATTTGGATAACTTGGCCACATTTAAATTAAGGAGATGATATATTTAGATATAAAATCATAAATAATACCTCTAAATTGGAAATGCATTCAAAATCACCCCCAACATCTTCCCAGATAGCAGTGGTGGCATCAAAACTTGCTGTCGCCAACAATTTTCCAGATGGCGACCACATGCACGATCTAACAGTCCTAGTATGTGTCTCCTCCAAGACTGCCTGCAAAGTAGCATTATGTCATGGTACTATTGCAAGGTATGAAACTTGAATCTCATATCACTATGGGCTTCCTGTATGGGGTATTGTCTTGTCTACTTAACTTTATTGCTTACAAACATTCTCAGTTTTATGAGCCTCAGAATAGATCTCTGAAGATAAGCAAGAGCAGTAGTTTAGGAAGAATTATGGGATTGTAGCACCCTTTTATACTATAATTGAAGAAAAGAATCCAGAAGAAGATGCAGAGTTCATTTAAGAGACATCTCTAACTATTAAACCTTGGAGCAAGGTTTAAATAAGGGGAGGGATGTCATAGAAAGAGAATTTACAGCTCATGTCAAATTAATACAGTTAAGTTTTAAGTTGTAATAAGCAAGTAGAACGGTCACTGTGATTTCCATTGCCTCTTTCATTATTGCAGATTCTGTGTTCTATTTTGGATGGCAAACTGTCCTCCATTTCTCTCTTTTTTTCCCATTTGCTCTATTTTTTAATTTATCATAAGAAATTAATAGAAATACTATCAATTTACCCTATATATTGTCGATTTTAGCTGTTACTAGTTAAATTTTGTTGGTTAATTGAAGGCTAACCATTACAAATAGTTGGAAAAATCAAAATTCAGTCAATTGAAATAGTTACCACTTAAATTTGCAATTTATGTTATGACAGCATGATCTTGTATTCTCGTGTGGACACTTCTCAATATCGGGAGGTAAACAGTAGCTTGAAATAAATATAGAAGAGAAAAATGAAACCTTTTGCTGGAAAGAGCCTGTGGCGGGACTTTGTTCCCAAATACAGACGGTTTTGTCTCCGCTACAAGATGCGAGTACTGCAGGAACGCCGTTGCCTCCAGTTGCCGGTTTCCATGCTACGCTCCAAACCCTATCGGTGTGACCTTCGAGTCGTTGAATTTCTCTCAGCTCGAAATTCTCATCGGCGGAGTTCATCGCTCGGAAAGTTATAATAGATTACGGTTGATTATAAACTCGTTTGAGACACGCGGCGCCGCCGCCACTGATGTTGGGAGAATGTCGTGGACTCGTGCTAGGCTGCTAGCCAGTGTTACTAGAGAAACGTCGGGGAGTAAGCATCGTGTGCCATTAGGTGTAGAAAAATATCAGCAAAGCCCCTGTAGTCTGGATAATTTCACTTTGACCCCTCATTTATGAACTATTTGTTAATTTGATCGTTTCTAATAATTTAACATAGAAACACTATTGGCGATTGCCGAGTCACCAAAGAATCGTCGGAAATCATTGACACGTGTGCGTTAGTAATCGCTAATGATATTGTTCATGAAAATTCCGAATATATGTGTGTGCGCCTATCATTTTTAATGTTGCACTACTCATCAAAAAATCGATTTACTGACCATAAACCCTTGAAATTGAATTAATGACTACAAGTTTGATGGAGGAGCTTCTTTTTGTTAGATAAGACTAGGCTCTCTATTAATATCATTGCAATGATGAAATCACAACATACAATCCTATTTGATACATATTCAAATTAAATTTTTAGTAGATTTTGATAATACTATCACATGTATGCTTAAGCTCGCTTTAAGAGTCTTAGCTATTCAATTGGTATTAGAATTTAAATTGAATATCTCATAAGATAGAGGATGCTACATAAAATCATGATGAGTAAGATAAGCAAAGGTTGTTCCAAAGCGGACAAATAGATCGGCTTGAACACAAAGACTTGGATCGTTATATACTAAAGTTCACCTTAAGTCTCTAATGTGACAGATTTTCAATTCGAATCCTTGAGGACACTACAGAAAGTAATGAGGGGTAAGATAAACATAGAAGTCATGATTGTTATAGTATCATACTATGTTTTCGTTTTTTAAGTTGTTCTTTCAAGTTTTCCCTCTTAAATTAAGCTGAATGGAAAGAATATATTTTCCTTTTCTAAAACATCTAGGCCATAATCTTCGTGTTTGATCTTGCTCAATTGGTCAGGTCTTTGGTTTGCTCCCTAATGATCATCAGTTCGAATCCCCTCGGGGCCACTGAGGTGAATACTCGACCGTAAACTTCAGGGCCCCGTGAAATTAGTCGAGATGCGCGCAATCTGGTCTGGACATCCACGATTAAAAATAATAATAATAATAATCTTCATGTTTGATCATATGAAAATTACGAATGTCATTATTTAGGTCGTTCCATGTTACACTTCGTTTAATTAGCAGATTGCATATGTTACCACTTGTCCCTTTCAGTATTGCGGATAGAACAAAGGTAAAGGAGGAGCGATTTCTAAAAACAAGTTTACTGCAGATGGTTCATGATTTTCTTATCTTAAATTATAAAAAAGAGAAGTATCTTCTGTTACCTTTCAGAGCCTAGCTAAATTTTGTATTTGAAGTACATCTTTCATTCTAACTTCTATTCTCATCTGTTCTACTTTTTCCTTTTTGCTTTCCCATAAGTTAGAGAACTTCAGGCACACTATCCAGCACGGGCATCCATCCTCTGCAATTCGTGTAACCGACTCTGTCAATGGCATCGACCTTCTTTGTGCTTTGTTCCAATACCATATCATCAACTGAGACACCTCCTTTTCCTAACATTGCCTGAAGGTCTTGCTTGCTGATGATAAGCTTAATCCTCACGACTCCGGTTGATTCTCGAGCTTCTTCGACTGAATCTGCAAATCGAACCGTCTTGTTTTTCTTCTTTGTCCGATGTAGAGGAGCCACAGGTAGAGGCAGAAGGTAATACAACCGACCTCCTATCATTTTAGCATTTGGATTCATATACTGTACTACTGGAAGTTTATCTGATATTGCATGGTGAGAAAATTCTGATAACACTTGATGAACTTCTAATGGAGCCTTGTATTCAAGGATCTTCCCATCTGTTTTTATAACTTTGATAACCTTTGCCTGCAGAGCTAAGCAATTTCCCATGGCTCTGAAGTTTGGTTTAATGGAGAAAGCTTTTTATGTAGAATAGAAGTGGCCTCTGAGATTTGTGGGAGTATATTTATAAGGGAAAATGCCAAAAGAAAGCCCTCAAGAACTTTGAATATTACAAGAAAAACCCAATTGCACTTTGGGGCCCACCTCGTTGATTTTTGTTCCTGTTCTAACCTAGAGATCATGAGTTGTGATATCCCTCATTGAGGTGATCATGATCCATTGAATCTTAAACAGTCAAAATTATTGAAGTTTTAGCTAGCCTTTTTATTGTGCTAGTTAATTATATCTTTTAAGTGAAATTGAATTATAGTAAGAAAATTCCTTCATAGGATAAGAAATAAGTATATTCATTTTAATATGGAAAGAGAAGACAATGGTTTTTTTGAATTTTGTTGCCCCGCGTAAATCGTATTTATAAAATTCTACGTATTAGACCAATGACAAGTGATAAGGCGTTTCGAATATAAGATATATGTAAATGAAAATTTTCTTTTTTCTAACTTAAAACTCTTAAAATGAGTTAATTCAAGACCTCGGGTGTCATGCATCTTGTAGGACTTCTGTAGTCTAACTTAGTCGAGTTTTCTAGTGACATGTTTAGTAAATTGAATTAGATGACACTCGACGATATAAGAAATAAACGTAGTTAAAATTATTTTCAGCTTGTTATCTAGTCTGATCTAATACTATGTATCAAATATACACTAAGAAGCTAGAAACGTTAAAAACCCATAAAATGTGCAACTCGTTTCCACCAACATTTAATTATAAAATTTTAAAACCATATTATTAGAGTGATTATGATTATATTAGGAAAATGTAACAATTCATGGAGTCCCTATTACTGTGGTAAGTGGATGATTACCAAACTCCATATTTATAGGGAAATTTCAGTTAAGAACCAGTGAGACCACTTTCAGTTAGTGGTTGATTGCTGTGTATCATGGTTGACTCCACTTGTGCAGCATTGATTATCTGCTGGACCCTCTGATCAATGTGAAATCAAGGTGTGGATGGGGTAGGTGTCTATGGAGATGTAAATGTGAAGTACTATTTCAGTATTTCCATTTGATTTCATTGAGCTATAAAATTCTCTATGTACATGTTCAGTGCCCTTGTTTGAGCCCCATTATTCGGTGTTAATAGATTTTGAAATAGTAATTTTTTTGAATGATGTGTGATTAAAAAGTAGGAAAATGTTTTGAGTTTACGTCTAAAATATTTTATTGTGTGAACGCGTGATTGAAAATGAATTTGAAAAAAAAAATTAAAATGAGGATCAAACAAGAGTTATATTGAAATTAGAGTTATTTTATTAGGTTTTTTTTTACGCTCCTAATACACGTTAGCGATGATTATTAATTGATTTTATTACGAGAAAGTTTATCAATTCATTTGATTTGTAGAATTTTTTTTAAAGTAAAACGCTCCAAATTGTAATTTTACTCTTTATTATAAGTTAACTCTCTTCAGTCTCTTGAGAGTTTTCGAGCCTGTTTGGTTTAGCTAAAAGTCAGATTTTTAGTATATTTTAATAAATATTAAAAAAAATACGTGATTGATAAGAATTGTGGATATCACAAAACGTGTGGCTGGAAATGAGTTTAAAAAATAAAAGTCAAAAGGAAACGTTTTTGTTATGAAAACTTTTCATTAGCTAGGTATTTGTTGTAATCAACAGCGTTGTACAAGGCAACCAAAAAAATAAAATAAAGGAGAGGCTACCCCACTTGCTGTGTATTAGGGCATTTTAACTATGGTTGCACAAACTGGTTGCTTAGTGCTGTGTGATGTTATCAACACGCATGCCTGATACAAGGGAAGGGTATTTCATTACGAGGAAAAGCCAATGGAGAAGAAAGTTAATTAATTATAAAACTCCATTATTCACATTTTATATAATTTTAATGCATTCCTTGCCTAGTTATGATAATTCACCCTTTTATATAAAATACTCCTAATATTTTTAAAAAGGTAAAGCGTATTTCTGATAATAAGCCCCCGTCTGATTTAAATTAAAATTAGATTTTTACTAAATTTTGATAAAAGTTTATACAATTTGTGGTTTACGAAATTATAAGTCCTATAATATATGTAAAATTAATTGTTAATTTTGATTTAAACTTAGTTTAATTTTAATCCAAACGAAACAGAGACTAATTCTATTGAAATTGATCTCATGTCCCAGCGAGTAGGATAAAAGCTTTCCACTGCTAACATGAATTAAGGTTCTCTTAACACGTTAGCGATGAAAAGTTTTTGGGTGATGCTACATGTACACCTCATGCATTACACAATCCTTTACACCCCCTCACATGGAGGGGGGTCCACGATTATTTTATTATGTGTGGACCCCCCTCCATGTGAAGGGGGGTAAAGGATTGTGTAAAGAATTATGTACACATAACTTTATTCAATTATTATGTGTGGACCCCCCTCCATGTAAGGGGGGTGTAAATGATTGTGTAAAGAATTATGTACACATAGCTTTATTCAAAATTTTTATCCTACTCTAGAAGATGTGCTAATTCTATTTTATGATCAACTCTCGAGTAAAAGCAACTGAGGAAGGCATAAAACTGCAAAAGCAATATGCAAGGCAGATTTTGAGTTGGGACAAAGACTCCCTTCTCATTAAATCCCCCAAAAGTCACTATCTACTTTTGCCACCAACACTAAAAAAAGAGCACTGGATTTTCACCAACTTTATTTGCAACTAGTTTGGTGTAACATTGTTTTTCCTCTTGGTCCACTATCGGCCGATATGGCACGAAGGATCAAGACGCTTGTCGCCATAATATTGGGTGGCCACCACCTTATAGAATTTTGATTTCCCTTCCTGCCTTTGGGTGCGCGTTCATAGATTCATTGACTGATAAAATTCTAAAGTACTGTTATGAAGTCTTTGTTAATTGTGCAAAAATCATGAGTAGGGGAGATTTGCGTATCTCACCTATGGATAATTAGAATAACATATTGGTGATATCATGAATTTTGTTTTTGCTCTCAAATTGAAGTGAATCTTTTGAATGGTTCGATTATTACTCTAAACTTTAGGTGAATTTCTTAAATTATATTTGACCGAGGTGGGAATTGCTATAGGACTTGAATGGATTTCTAAAATCTTGGTTGATTGAGAATATGGCAAATTAATTGAAATGAAATTGAATTGAGCCTTATTATGGAGAAAATTAGATTAATATTCAAAATTTAAACTCGAGTTGAAGTTTGGAATGACAACGGGACATGACGACACTATTCTAATCCGTACAACTGTCCACCAGAAATTTTCTAGATGCAAGGTGGGATCAAAATAACCTTATTTCTTGTGTTCGTCCTAGTCTGGTTCAAGACATGAACATGAAATTTTATTTAATATTAATTGAATAAGCATGAATATTAATTAATAACTATTTATTATAGTTTGTAAATTTAATATATATGGAAAGACATTAAGTTAGATATTATTAAAATAATTAAATTGCAGTAAATAATCGTTCAAAAAAATGATTTTTTGTCATATTTTATATATTAATCGATAATTTATACATGGATGAATTCATCAAAAAAAAATTTTAAAAAATGGTAGGCGCATCATTTCCCTTCTAATTTCATTTTTCATCGAAGCAATTCTCAGGCAAACAGTGGCTGAATTACTGCCGCTGATGAACAAAACCTAGCTATAGTAACCAAATATTGTTCATACAGACATACACGCATTTCGCGTACTAAAGCGACAGAGTGCGATTGTAGCAGTGTTTACAGTAGAAAATTCCTCTGTTACTTGATTATTTCTGTCTAAAAGCATTTGGGCAATGGATTTTTACTTTTCTTGGAGTTAATCGCCGACGAATCAACTGGACTAGTGCTTACCCTATTGGCTATTCTGATTGATCCATGGATTTTTTTCAGACATTTGATTTGAATGCGCTTTGTTCGATTGCTAAAGCTTGATCAAATGCAGATTGAGAAAGCATCACAAATTTCAGAAATGCTGCTAAGTTATATGAATCTGAAAAAGTGAGTGTTCTGATATTTGATTGATTTATGTTTAACCGTTGATTCTGATTTCTTCTTTTGAATACATCTCTACCCCTTGAACTGGAACTTAATGCTTAGGCTTGCTAATTGTGCACCACTCTCAGATTTATCACGAAATTTTGCACTGCCTAATGAACTTGTTCTCTATTTAAATATGTATATGTTTTTTACTTCTTCCTCAACATTGATATCTCCAGGGCACTTAAAGGCCCACGGTGAGTGCAAGAAGTTTATAGGTCAAGTCTGGTTTGTGGAAGAGTATGCATCCTATTTGACTATGGACATCAGGTCGTGAGCTAACCAGCTCACAAATGTCCAAATCAACCTTGGTTCCTTGATAGAGGTCGACCAAAGAACATCACCGAGCTCCACCGTGATGCCAGATTATAGTCTAGGCGAGTTGGTCGACCATCAATCTAAAAGCAAAGGTTGAAGTCATGAGCGAAGTCGCAGTGAATGACCTGAAGGACAGGTGCAATATCACTCAAAGCCAGTCGAGTCAATTAGCACATTGAGCTGAGTCAACTCACTTGTACAGGTGTCATAATGGTCATGGTGTCAAGACTCAAGAGACACCACTTCCTATATTCTCTCTGCATTCATAATAACGGATAAGGACACCTAACCGAACGAATCAACCTTGATGCACGTTACCGATAATGGAGCATATGGTGCCCCAAGTATGGACATTACACGTACTACATTCTCAGCCTTTTTACATTTTACATTTTACATTTTATAGTTCATATACTATTTTTCTCTTACATATCTCTGACTCGGCGTTGGAGTGGCAATGAGGGAGATAGCAGGTACCAAAATGATCTAGGGCGGCTGTCGATGGAGTTGGAATAGTTCTGCTATCATCAATTTGTATCTTGTACCTTTATCTAGCTGACCTTAGGATCTATTTCAAGTGCTAGATTGGATTCTTATAAACAAACTTTTGAATGTTGAATTCAACTAATGCATCTGTTGATGCTTTGGAATTAAAGAACATAGAATGTCCATCTGGTGTCTACGCATGTGTGGTGGGAAAGTATTGGTTTATGCTTGTTTTAGATCTTGCGTTTTATGAAGAAATCTACTCCACGGCATTATCATTTCACTAAAAATGTCTTCAATTATGCGAAACAAATGGGAGCACCAGGTTTCTGTTACGAAGTCAAACTTTCTTTCCCCATGAAAATCAGAAAACAAGTTGTCGCTCTAACCGTGTTTTTTATCAGCTCCAGCTGAATCCATTTAAATCTAATTGCTTGCAACTTGAAGAAGCATCATTTTCATCCTCTGTATTTAGGTCCAGTTTGGTTGAAAAGTAAGGCAGTTGAAACTTTGGTGATGTCTTCTGCTTCTCTAGCTTAATTGAATCATTTCTATGAGTATCCTGGTCAAAAAATATAACCTCCGTACCTGTTCCTCTATATCTTTCCTCTGAATAGTTGCTGCTGCTGTTCCATTTTCCTCCCTGAAGTCCAATGCTCATTGATAAATTGCTGGAGTATTTTCCTGTAGAAAATGGTTTTCCAATATTGTCGTCCATAGCGGAAAGAAACTTTCTGCTCTCCGTCAGGTCTTCGCACCATGTGAGTTCAGTCTCCTGCAGCTTGGATTCATTGCCATCCTCCCTCGACTTGGTTGGTGCTCTAAAATTCAAAGACTTTAATCCCATTTGATTAATATACAGTTCTTGGTCCCTCATAGAACCTTCATTGAAGGTTAAGCATCTATCGATTGGACCATCGTTTGGCTTCAATTTTGTTTGCTCAAGGCACAAATCCGACAATTCTTGCGTCCCTGAAAATGCAGAATTCAGGCATTGTGTGGATACTTTGGACACCAAATCAGATAACTCAACCTTGGCAGCCTCTAGAGCAATTGTTCCCGAGTTCTGTCTTCCAAGAGTTTCCTGTGCTTTCTCAAGTACAGACTGTAAATATTTACCTTGAGCCTCAATCCGGAGCTGTAAATGGCGCTGTACCTATGCATGGAAAGTAAACCTTGTTATAATGGCAGCTTGAAAAACTTAGAATGATTTCATTGCCTAGTATCATTTTGCTTATTCAAACTTTAATTGTTGGAAATATGAAGAAATTTCAACAACTCTTAAAAAGTTTCATTTCTGGACGAGGTCAAACTTGTAATCATAAGCCAAAATGAGTAAAAATATTTGCCTCAAGGAATAATTTGGTTGTGATGCATCCTTTCACCAAACGTGTGATTCTCTAACCATTACAATTCTCCAAGCTCCAATAATACTTCCAGAAGCAACAATTTATTTCGGAATTCAAAGTGTTACAAAGGATTAGCACTTGATTTTTGTTGCATACATAATATTCCTTATCCATTATGTTAAAGGTACTTGCAATTGCTTCATGTATGGAAAACGTTAGTTCTTTCTTTTTTTACCTCGAGCTGCTCATGTAGCCTTCTTTGCGTTTCAATTTGCATTTGTATTGCTTCACTTAAAGGTAAATTTCTGAATATAAGGCAGCACAGTTACAACATTATCAGTTGAATCGCCTTTAAATATACGAGTTAAAAAAGAAAAAACAAGGCTTTTCATACTTGTTTGTTTGGCTGGCCATGCTTGGATGACTCTTTTGATTTCCATTTGCTTCAGGTGTCCTTTCTCCTATTTCTGCAATCATAATTAACTCATTAATTTTATATACACTTTTCTCATTAATAGCTATAATCTTGTAACAGTTTTTTGGCAGTTACCGGATTTGTTCCCAGCTTTGTTGATCCCAGTATTAGCTTGTCCTTGGAGGTTTTTACTGAGTCTGTATTTCTGACAACAGAGAATATAGAACGTTGAGAACTTGTTTTATCTATATGTTCATAAATGAGACACAAATGCACGCTGAGTGAAAGAATACATGCATATCTACATATGCACAAAGTACTTCTTTTCCTGTCATTAAGAAAGAAGGTTTCATAGTTAACTACTGCTTTATTTCTAGTAACTTCCCTAAGAGTTTAATTGGAACTTTAAGTTGCTCATAGAATTGGTTAATATTGAAGGTGATCAAACTGGAAAGTCTATTTTCTCTTGTGCAGAAGTCTAGTTTAATCTGGCAATGAACAATTTACCTGAAGGTGACTCTTTAAGTGGTACAAAGTTAGTCCTTGAATTCCCATGAGTTTCAAGACTGATTTTGGAGTAGCTTCTGCAACAGAAGAAATCGTATTGAATAACTGAATACAGTAGCACTTTATTGGGGCATCATGTGCTAGACATGTATGCACTTACTGTCTGCTCCACCAAGTTGATTAACTGCCTCTATGAACTGCTCATGAAGGTCCGGAGTCCATTTCAGTCTTGGCTTGGCATCAGTGGAAAGTACAAGTCCTGAATCTCCGGTGCCATTTGCACCTTGATGGAACAAGTGCCTTTCAGGCGGAGTGAACATTCTTGAAGAGGGGTGAAGGTTTTTTCCTTGGTGGTGGTGATGATACATGTTGTTTTCTTCATCATATGATTCGCAACAAATTAGCTTTCATATTAAGAGCGAAAAAAAATAAGATCTTTGTGTTTGTGAACAAATAATATTTGTACCTGAAACCATAAAAGGCTCCTGTTTCAATCTGCTATCACCCTTCTATGAGAATTATGATTCTGCACATTGTAATTCTGCAATCCTGATACTTCGGTAAACAGAAGTTGTCTACTACAGCCCTTATCTATTTCTTGTTTTCTTTGATCAACTCTTACGTTCTAAAGTTGTGCTCAGGGATGTCTTATAAGTAAACGAGAGGTGGGGTTACAAGTGAGGCAAAGAATATCGGACAGGGCCAACAAAACATTGGATCCAATCCAATCTTCACAGCGACTCGAAAAGAGATCTTGCTCTTCCAATCTCGCACATCTGTGGGTCCCGTCCCATGCAACTTCCCTTTCCATTCTCCAACAGCTGCACTACCCACTTAAAATTCTTATGCACTATGAATCTTGACAAACTTGACACCTTACAATAGGTACAAGAATAGATCCACCTCAGTCTTCCTTTCCCTGTGAACTTATATTTGTTATTTGGCAAAGTTTGGGAACCTTATTCCCAGAATGAATGGTGGATTTTTTATCTGATGTTTATTGGAGGAACCCACTATAGACGATGTTTTGAAACCTTCAAAGCCTTTTTCTTACCAAGGAAGATTCTGTTGACTGGAATGTAACTTAGCATTAGATACGTACACAGAAAGGAAGGTAGTGAGATGGTGAATAGATACTTCATCTTGGGATTTTTGAAAGGTCAAGTTTGGGTAACATTTAACAAATATTCTTCCCTTTTAGATTCCCCTATTTTTATTTAATTTGGTCACAGCCAAGCCATGTACTAATAGGTAGGCGAGGGTGCGATTCCTTGGATATGAATGTCCTTTCATTTTGATCTCTAGTCTGATATACAAAAAGATCTTAGTTATTTGGAGACCATAGACTTGATTAAAAATTTTCTTGTGCTATTTTCTTTATATAATATTGCCTCAAACAGTCTTGGTGAATTCATTGTTTCCTTTTCTGGACCCTGTATTTAAGGGCGGCCTTAGAGAAATGTAGTGATTGGATTGTTTATATTTTCCTGTATCTTCCTAGACGCGACCATGCGCTTGTACTTTCATGTGAGATTTAGCCTTTTTAAGTTAGTGATGGAGTTTTTTTCATGAAGAGAACACTTGCTTTATTTCTGGAGCATCACACTGTAACACACAGTACATGGCTGCACCTATTTCACCATTGATGCACAGTCACTGGATTTCCTCATGCACATTCTTCTTGTTATCTTAGTATTTATCTTTTTTTGTCTTCTGAAAACATTTTGAGTGATTCTTATAAAAGGGGGGAATAGATGCTTCTTCTTGGCTTTGTTTGAAGGCCAGGAATGGCATAACGAATACATTCCTTTTTGTCTCCTTCAGTAAGTTTGGTACTTATTCAGCCTAGATGGAATTAATGAAGAGAGAGGAGAGGTCCCAGTGAGATTTTTAAAATTCTTCTAATGGTATAAAGATTTGGGACCCTTTAAAAGAAAATAAAGCATTGTACTTACTTCTATACTTGCATCTAATACAATGCTAACACGTCATAGCCAGAAGAGGACCACTTGCTTTCCCCTTGACTTGAGACTTCAGTTAGCTTTGTCGATACCTGGAAATGAATCTACATATTTTTGCTGTAAATTATTACCTTTTCTAATCTCTAGTGTTAGTGGATTTTGAGGATATAGGTGTAATTCAAGTTACTTCTGTAGATATAACAAATTATCTCTCTTAACACCTTAAGCGTTTTATGTGCATAGGTTCAAAATGATATTGGAGCATACAAAGGTCCCGAGTTCTAGTTGCCTCACCACCTATTTATGAAAATTGTGTACTTATCAGCATTTGATGAAACTTGGATCTGATCTCCACTTGAGGGGTATGTTGAAGGCATAACTTAAATAAATTTGTTTTCTCTTTAATAGCTTAAACTTTTAGATGAGATGCTCAAGAGATACTTCAATTGTCACCTTATGCTATAAATATAAATAGATTCTTGAATTGTTCTCTGTAAATTTGTGGTGTCTAGCATTTAAGTTTATATTATATTGGAACTTCAGTTTTTAAATCTATTCCTAAATGTGTATTCTCTACTTGCAAACCTCAAGTAATGCGTGTTTTTGCATGCTCATGGTGAATGGCTAGAACGTAAAAATATTCATCCCAAGAAAGAATTGTCATCTCATGTACATGGCATACATCTCATGTACATGGCATACTCATCTTGGATTCAATTTTACATCTTTCACCTTATCATCATTAAGGGTGAGTCTTATTTCATACCTATGCTGCAATTATGCTTGAATGCACATAAAAGATATAGTGAACTGATTAATCGCTGATATAGAAAAAGTTTGGTTGTTAAACAATATTGATTAGGTTTGCCAACTGATTGATAATCCACTAACATGGAGAATTAATATGGTAAATAACAATTAATGACTTGTAAATATGGCTTATGTGAAGTGCTGTCCCTGTGCATTAGTTCCAGTTGGACTTTTCAGGAAAGATCATTTGATTCCGATATGCTAGAATATTTTATGCAGTTTGGAGGTATCTGTTGAATCCTTTACGTAAACGGGTTAAAGTTAAATTCCTAAATAGTTTTACTGGCATGTGGATAAGATTGAATGGCATATGGGGAATGATGTGGTGCTTCTCATGCTACATCATTATGCCCTTGTTTGCTCCCCATTTTCTAAAACTAATTGTTCTTCAAACTCATTTTCAACCATCCATTTCATGGGACCCACGACTTTTATCAACTTTTCAACCACGCGTTTCATCAATTTTTATGAAAATTACTAAAAATCTGATTTTTAGCTTAAACCAAACAAGGGCTAATCAACTTCCCAATAAAACTAGCTAATATTTGTGTCATATCATCTCTAGACGATTAGAGTATTAAGGATCCAATATAACTTATTAAATATTTCTTGGTGCTTTGCAATTGGATAAATATGTATTATTGATATTGTAGGATGTAAATAAATAAATACCTACTCGTAAAGAGTTTGTATGAAAGGGCGAAAGAAATAACTAATTTTCTATATTCTTTATATCTTTTTCTCTGTTTGTGTGACTGTTTTTTCTTTGGTGGGGGTGAGGGGGTATCGAAAGAAGTTATTTTGTTCTCTTCTGTTGTTTATGTTTCTTTTTCGTTCTCTTCTCTTTCCACTCGAGTCAGGTTGAAATGGTGGAACTGTTTCCGAATTCAGGAACAAATCTATCATCCTTGTGTGCAGTTTGTTCTATTTAGTTTTGCACACATGATATTGAAGTGCCTATAAATGTCATCTTAGCTAATACCACTTCAATTCCAGACCAGATGGGAATGTTGATCGACCATATGAGTGTACTATGAAATTTGATTAACTGTAATTGCATGCCCATTTTTACTTTTATAATTATACACCGATCTTTGGACAGGCTATACAGTCATATATAGAATAACTATTCATTAACCTTCCATTTCATGTCTCTTTGTAGGATCCAATGATCTCTTCAAACGGCACATTTAGTTGTATTTCCTTGATGTTGCCATAACTGCTCCTCTGTTTGAATGTACGTCATGTGGAGCACTGGGCTTCTAGGGGTTGTTTGACAAAGTTTTTGATAAAAATTTTAGCAGATTTTGATAAAAGTTCATGGTATGTGAGATTGAAAAAATGATAAAAGTTGTGAATCTCATTAAATGTGTAGTTAAAATTGAAGTTTGACCAATTGAAAAGCTGATAAAACATGCACCTAATCTTTTCCCTTGTATATGTGTAGTGTAAGGAGAGAGAACATGGCCTGTTATTCTCTGTTGTACTTAACCTTTGCTCTTTTTTTTTTTTATGTAGGCTCTTGTGTTTGATTCCATAATTTCATATAAAAGAATCTTGTAGAGTAGCATTTGAGAATCAATTTGTAAGAAATTCAATCATTAGCTAGTTCTCATGCATAACTCTAATTGGCTGTGGCTTCTTGACCACATCTGATTGTACTGGCTGAATTATAGAAAGAAAAGTTACCAAGGAATGCTATTCCAAGTAGATTATTCCTTTCGCACTTTTCTTTTATTTTCTTTCTTCTTTGGGGGTTGGAGTGGGGAAGAAAGTGATATTCTGAGGAACATGGAATTTGAGAATCTTAACTCAAAGTAAAGCTGTTGGGGCGTATTCTCAAGTCAAGAATTTTGATATTCTTCCTACTCAAAGGCCACGAAAAATGGGTTCCCACTTTCCCTTTCATTCTCTATCCTTATGCTACATAGCTTAAGATGCCCTTATCATGGGTTATCAATTATTAGTCCTCTTAATCCCTGCGTTATTTGTGAAATTTTTGTTATTCCTTGCGTTCTTCGATATTTTGTAAGCTAGAAAGCCTATATACCACCTTAAAATCGGGCATAGTATTCCTTGTGAAAGCATTGAGAATATGTTTATTACATTGGTGAAACTGTGATAAAATTTGTAAATTGTGATGTTGCATCAGCTTATAAAACGTAGCATTAGTGGTAGCATCTACCTATAATGGAAATTATTGAAACTGCATTTTAATTAGATTTTAATATATTGTACTACCTACCTGAATTGTATAAACGAACAAAAAAAGTTAAAAAATTTGTCCAAAGCTAGTATGCATCTACATGACTTATGCCTATTTGGTAGGGCTTCTGTTTCTTTAGAAAAGTTTGTCGAGAAAGTTACCTTATGTTAGCCTTTTTAAGAAATTCTTTTAATCTGACAAAATACTTTTAAAAAATTATTAGAACATGTGCACAAGTAGTTTTTTAGTCTTGGAATCATTTTTTGACTTTTTAAAAGTCAAGACAAATGGTCCCATAGTGGTGTAATTTGTAACATGGATTGTAATGAAATTATTAAAAACAAAAGAAGTTAAAATCTTGTTTATGTATGTTGTCCAGATTTTGTCTAATTGCTCAAGTATGCACTAGAGGAACAATCTCCTTTCCGGACATTTTTATTCCCACAATTGGATGTCAATATTACTTAAAACTCCGCTTTGAAGGTTATCAAAACAGGCAAATTTAGGTAATTAGCAATGAAAAGAAATTACGACATTTTTGTAGGAAATGTCAGTCAATAGGACCGAACAATATTACAGTGTGACGGTAAACTAAGTCAGTGTTCGAGCCCTGTTTTATGAATATACATTTCGTGAAAAGTAATTTTTTTAGAATTATGTGTGGCTTAAAAAATGGGAAAAAGAATTGGACTTTCATGCAAAATTATTTTATTGGGTGAACGTGTGGTTGAAAATGGATTTGTCCTTTATTTCCGGCTTAAGTAAAAAGGGATCACTTGATATTGAAGAATTGATTATAATTTATACAAATTAATAATTCGAATTTCTTGTGACAAGTATGATAAGTCATAAAAAAGTATGTGAATTTTCTTACTATTATTAATATTATAGAGTGAATTTTTTATAGTTGAAACAAAATCAGTTAGGTAAATTTTTTTTTTTTTTCAAAGAATTGGGCTGAAACAAGAGATTAAATTTAACGTCTTTTTCTTCTTTAATTTGTGTTATACCGTACAAACATATTAAAACATGACAAGTGGTTTTGCAGCTTTTGCTTGCAAAAGAACATAAAGAAAAATCTTTTATGAAAATTGCTACCCTGGAATCATAAATGAAAAAAAAAAAATTAAAATTAAAGAATGCTATTACCTTTTTTTTTCTTATTAAAGACAGGAAAATATTGGATTCATATTTTTTCTTGAAAAAAAAAAAAAAGAAAGAAAAAGGAAAAAAAAGGAAAAATTCATATTTCAAGTGTATGGTTTACACCAATTCAAAAGTCAGTTATATAGTTTAATAATTCAAAACTAAGGTATTAGGTAATTAATTAAAAATATTTATTAATTAGGTCACAATTATACAATTAATGGTCACATATACATAATTATAGGTCACAATTTATTTATTTATCACATATTATCAAATTAATTAGTTACTGATGATTTCGAGGTCACAAATTCAAAAAATTATAGGTCAGTTAATTTCATTGGTCACATATTTTCAAATTTGTTAGTCACAGATTATTTTTCAGTTACATATTGTCAAATTTTTAGGTCACAATTAAATACTTGGTCACAGATAGTCAAATACTTGGTCACATACCACTGGCACTACCACTTCAGCCACTTTTTGACCAACATCGCCACCACATTACCACCAACAAACCCACCACCACTGTATCCAACCACATACTATCACCACCACCACCACCACCCAAATTCGAACCCACCACACACCACATCTACATCACGCCGTTGCCACCATAGCACACCCAACAAAAAAAATCACGTCACACCATAACCACCACCCAACAAAAAACCCCCAAACTCGTCACCACCACCACACCCCCACCCGTCGCAATGCCACCACTACCACAACTCCACCCCGCCACTGCACACACACACCCACAACACACACACCCATAGCACCCATCGCGACGCTGCTGTGGAAGCGTCGCACTGCAGTGTCACGGCAGCAAAGATGCACTATCCCAACAGTTGCTCCAAGCGGTGGTCTTGAAGGAGAAAATTTCAGATCGAGCTGCTGTGCTTCTGCTTCGATCGTCGCCGTGAGTTTAGAGGTGGATTGTTGATGTGGGCGGTGGTCTTCGACAGTGGGCAGTGGTCGACAGTGGGTAGAGGGGAGATTTACAGAGAGAGGGAAGGGAAGGGAAGGGAAGGGGAGGGGAGGGAGAGAGAGAGAGAGAGAGAGAGAGAGGTAAGGGAGTTGAGAGTGATAAATTAGGGTTAGAGTTTTAATATATTACCTGATTTTTGAATAATGAAACTTGGTCCCTAATTTTTGAATTTCAATCTTTAAACACCTGAATTATGTAATTTCCCCAAGGAAAAACCTCCAACAAATTGGGCTTTAAACTTATGTGGAACTGACACAAACAACACCAAGATGGACAGTTTACTATTTTACGTGAATTATATTTATAATACCTATTTTCCCATATTTGGAATTGATACAAATAACTCTAAGACAAAAAAATTTATGTCATACGTGAAAGTTTACGAAAAAATTTAATTTAAAGTGTGCTGCCAATCGTTCATTGCTCATTTTACTGTTATTTTTGTGAATTTTCGTAATTACTAGGAGCTTTGCCTTCTATGAAATATTGCACTTTGATATGCGAAAGCAAAGATAACATTAGATGTCACTTATAAGAGAATTTTATGTTATCCGGGGAACATGTGGATGATGCCTTGATCTACAAAGAGATCCATAGTTCAATGTGTGTGACGTAGCATTTATCGTGACTTGGGAAGGGGCATGTATATGAATGCTCGATGATTTATACTCATCTTAGAAAGGAGTCGGGCCACAGATAAAATAACTGATGATAACCTTATTGCAAGTTTTGTAGTAAGGTCAAGTCTCGTTCATTATATACACTTGTCCAATATTGTATACTAAATATGCAGATGGATTTGCACTAAAATTCAAAGGCCAACTTTGTGGTTCCATCACTTTGGGGCTAAAGTATATCCTGCCATATTAACAGGCTTAGAATAAAAGAGTACTCACATTCTTAGCTCTAAGCCATTATATCCACTCTTTTACAAAGTGGAGACTCTTTTTTGTAGTAGTGATGGTTGAGTGGAATATTTAACCTATAATTTTATGTTCACTTCATATTTGGCTGATACTAAGCTCAGGCTCTCGACTCATCAAGAAAAGAGTTAGCAGCCTATAACTCAAGATATGGTGAACACTACGGTAACGATTTATAAGTAGTATATAAATGTACACGAATAAAGGGAGATCCATGACAAAATACTTGTCCCGTCCTATCATATTTAGTCGAAGGTACCAAACTTGGTATAAACTACTGAGAAGGTCAAACACAAGGACCGGAAGGGGGTCAAGTTAGGACTCTCGTAAATTTTATATTTCAAGCTTTACGATAAGGAGCAGGTTCATTGTAGGTCCCAAAAATTAAATTATTTACTAATTAATTGATGTGTTATGTCAGTGTTGGTTAATAATAGTGTTTAATAGATCAATTTTTCTCGTGAGATAATTGTTCTCTTATGGTTGGATTTCGATGATAAATATTATATCGCGCAAGAATAAATTCTCTGGCCTCCATGTTTAATGTATAAAAATTTGGCAATACAGATTTCAGAAATATAAAATAAGTATATTTATTTTTTCAGTCAAATTGTAGGACACCACAGAATGGCAAGTGGGAATAATTTTTGTGCACTATACAAAGTGCCAATCTCAATCATATGAGTGCACTGTTCTTGATTTAACCGAAAGCTAAGCAAACTCGTCGCTTCTTCTATGGAATCTATTGCATTTAGTTTATGTTAAAGAAACCTACTTTTCTGGAAAGTAGGTTTCAACTTATTTTCTGAAAAAGTCAGGAAAAGAGATAAGGCAGGGGGTGGAGGAACGTGCCACAAATAAGCTTAACAATGGTGGGTGGGCACTGACAGATAGATGACCTATAATCTATATATACATTCCAAAATTTAGCAGCAAATTGCAGTATTATTGGATCAAATTGGGCTATTTTGGAGAAGAAGAAAGTTTTCTACCATGGCTACTTCAATCACTTTCTTCGTCGTTACAGTCACATTTTTCATTGTTAACTCTTGTGCTGCTAATACAAAAAGTACGCTCTCTCTCTCTCTCTCTCTCTAGTCGATAGGGTACTAGCTTTCTTCTTTTGAAGCACATAAACTTTCTAGAGTCGAGTCCATCTTATTACTTAAATGCCATAATATTCATAATAACGACGTTGTTTAGACATAATGACTATGCGAATTGGTTTGTAAATTCCATCGATAATCACTAACAGTATCCTTAATGGTACTCGAGAATTTTATGATTTTTTTGTTTTTAATCCGTGCAGAGGTTTATCAACCCATGCAATTCAGTTATTTGGGTGGCACAGGCCCGGACAAGTGGGCAAGCCTGGACCCAAAATTCGCTATGTGTGCAAATGGGAAATCACAGTCTCCTATTAACATTGTGAAAGCCAAAGTAGTAGTTGACAAGAAGTTGAAGCCATTGATCAGAGAGTATAATTCTGCAAATGTTACTTTGGTTAACAATAAATTTAACGTCGCGGTTAGTTTCCCTGCCTTTTTTCCTCTTAACTGGTGGATAGGATCGTATTATATCAGTTAAATGATGTCATCAAGATCGAGTTTGAGTCAAATTCTTAATACAGGTGATTTACCCTGGTAATTGTGGAAAGTTGACTGTGGATGGCAAGAAGTATTCTTTGAAGCAAATGCACTGGCATTCCCCTTCTGAGCATCGAATTGATGGCGAACAGTATTTCATCTCTCTATTTCCTTCTCTCTTGCAAACCACCACCACAATTTCAGCCAGGCCGGCCCTCGACAGTCCGAATCATCACGTCCTGGCTGTAGAGGTGGGCAGGGCCGGCAGGCCATGTAGCATGTCTTGTCACAAGCTGGATCATGCAATTGCACAGTTCTACAGAATTTGTTGTTATTCAAACTTGCAAGCAAAATCTTAGCTGATTATCTATAAATTACAGATTTGCAGCAGAGCTTCATCTGGTGCACTTAGCCGATGATGGTAGTGTTTCAGTTGTGAGCATCCTTTTCCGGTTAGGACACCCCGATCCTGTTATCGAGAAGGTATATGTCGAGCAATGTAAATAATTGTATTGGACTTGACTTATGTTCAATTCTGTCCAATCTAGCTTACCAAATAAGTACTGAAAAAAAACATTCTAACATTTGAATTGATCCTCCACTAACAGATACAAAACAAATTAAGTGAACTGGCAAAGGAGGTTCATACAAGTAATGAGAAAGCTCCAATTACAGTGGGACCCTTTCATCCCACAGAAGTGAGGAAAAATGGCCACAAGTATTACAAATACGTTGGTTCTTTTACAACTCCTCCATGCACTGAAAATGTTACATGGATCATACATGCCAAGGTAACAAATTATTTCAATTTCATCAACAATCAAGATATGTTTAGTACGTATTGTAATGAACGCAACCGGTTGGTATAATATATAGGTGAGGTCAATCTCGAAAGGACAAGTTGAGACTCTAAAAGCTCCACTCGATATGAGATGCAAGAACAATAATAGACCAGTGCAAGAAAGCAATGGACGCCTCGTGGAGCTATACGAGGAGCAGTCAAACCATTTATAGAGTGTCTATGATTTTGCAATCTATGAGCTTTGGTCGAAGAGATTGGCAACCTTGAATATATAAATATATAGAAGCAAAATCACTTTTCTTTTTCTTTTTTTTTTTTTTCCAAAAATTGTCATTTTTCTTTATCGGATAGTTATAATAGGTTGCAGACAATTAGCTAATAATTCTACAGCATGTCTCTAAGATAGGATTTAATATATAAACTGTGTTAAGGGATAAAATCTCACATCGGATAAAGATGAATACATAGACTAATTTATAAGAGTTTTGGTCACTTTTCTTAATAATGTTGACCTTTTAAGATGGAACCTCAAATCTTAATATGGTATCAGAGCCCGTTAAGCTCTAACGAGCAATTCGATCCGATTAAGACTCAAAAAAATTGAGTACACAGATTTCAAGATTGATCTGCTCAAACGAGCCACCATCTGAGAGGGCATGTTAAGAAATAAAATCTCATATCGAATAAAGATGAACACATAGATCAATTTATAAGAGTTTGAGCTACTTCTTTTAATAAGGTTGACATTTTAAGATGAAACTCCAAATCTTAATAAACTGCAATTATTTTAAAATACTGTAGAGATTATTTAGTAAAAGGGAATTAATGGGAAATTTTCAGATGAGACCGAACTTTTGTGTAAAACCAAACTTTGAGACCACAATCAACAATAACCGGTGGGATTATGGAGTGTCCACTCCCAAGTCTCCACTTGATAAAAATTATTCAAGCTTAAGGGGACATAGTGTGTAGTTTCAAAAAATTGCGATTCAAGTAGTCATTTATTGAAGACCTCCTAGTACGACCATACCATTTTGACTCTTCTCGAGAGATTCCAAATATAAATGCAAAATTTATTGTTAATTTATATTGCTCATCATCATTTAACTATTTTGTTGTTTTCTTGTTGTTGGTCACTTGTTGGTATTGATGGAACTAGAAAGCTCAATTGAGAAAGGGATCGGGAATGATCCCGTGATCATCTTGACTCATGCGATTATAGTGCGACCATAGACTTCATTCCTGAAGTACGACCATGAGGTTGCTACAAAATAGGACGAATAAACTAAGAGTAAATGAATAATGCATCATCAAAAGATCACAATTGATTTGTGTGATTCTCGTATTCCCAAAACATAAAATACGTCTCATGTGCATTTAACTATCTTTTTGACACGTGAACATATTTTGAATCCTAGATAAAGGGAACTCTACTCAAGGCAAATTTTTTGATATCTATGTAATCTCATCTTATGTAAAAGAATTATCTATTGATTCTTACATGAGGGGAACCCTGACCAAGGACCTAATCCTTTTGCGGGATCATGAGTAATAGATGAATTTAAAGACGGTAGAACATCACAAAATCTAAAGAAATACCTAGTGATATTTGAAATTAGGACGATGACCTTTATCCCGATTTGACTTCAATGATGAATTCGATGTTACAAAGCATTTGTTTCAGCATGTTGAATTGAGGTTAAGGTTTAATGATCCTTTTTCAACTCAAAGATCACTATTTTTGTGAAAGGAGTGGACTCAATATATACCTAAAGTGGTATCAACAACCAATTTTATTAACATCTTTTAGAGTTTTTGGGGCAAATTGCTGTCCATATTCAAAATGAACGTTACTTTTCAAGTAACACGATCAACAAACTAGGAAAAAGTTTGATGTGAACTGGACTTTATACACATGCATGCACTTTCATATCTATCTATCTATCTACCCAAATGAAAGAGAGAAAGAGATAAAGGCACACATACGTAAATGACGATAATGATATTCTTTGATAGCGAAATTAAGAATATTCCACGGATGAGCGCGTTTGTCAACTTTTTCATAGAGAAGTTAAATTCAGAAGAGGGATAAGTTGGCTAATGATCAATTTATAACGCCACTCTTGCAAATGTCTAATCTTTATAAAAAAATAGTACGATGAGGTAGAGATGACAGCTCTTCGATATACAAAAATAAATAAATAAATAGATTTGACTAGCTTATATCTCATCATGACTATTTCACACGAAACGAGAGTTGAACAAGAAAATTTGCTCTAAAGTGAAATTTCCATTTCGAGAAATTACACTTGAGGAAATATCTTGGACAAGGTTAACCTAAATAAGAAAAATGAAAATGAAAATAAACTCTTATTGTCCTATAAACAAACCACACATGGAAGAATAATGAAAATAAATCAAAAATTGTTAACTTTAAATAGTATAAAATATAAATTATTTTGATTTTGTACGTGGCAATCCGGTGTTAGAATTGAGAAGGGCGATGAAACACACAATTCAACACAGCCACACGTGTTATATTAATATGTTGGGTAGCACCCAATCATTCTCTTCACAGTTCACACCCCTCTTTTTCATCCGCACTCTCATGCCCTGAAAGAAGAGCTTTAACCTAGAAATCTTCTCTGGGTTTTTCAATTCATGGCTGGTAGGAGGAAGAAAAGGTCGAAATTGTAAGTTCTTGAATTTGCTTAGGTGAATTGTTTCATTTGATGTATGAAATCTGAATTTCGTTTTTGCAGTTGGTTTTTGCTTTAGAAGTGGAAATTGATTTTTGTTCTATGTGGGTTTTGATTTAATCTAATTTTTTTGTTGTAATTGGTTGGGTTTTTTGCTTTCGGTTTTCCAAGATTGAATTGGTTTACCCATTGATGAAAAGGATTCAATGTTTGATGATGAAAAAATTCGTTTAAAAGGGCTCAAGATTTTTAATTTCATTTTTTATTTAATCAGGTTTAAAGATCTGAATTTATAGCTTTTGATGGAGGATAAGTCTTTAGTGGCATTCTAGTTTGTTTATACGGATTGCGTTTATTTCTTGTTAATTTTAGCTTTACGGATGCCAGTGTTCTTACTTCTAGCTGATTTAAAATGTGCTCATTTCTATATTTATGGCAAAGAAAAAGAAAATGGTGAAAGGAGGATCTAAATTATGAGGGGTGCATTTGAATTTGAGGGCTTCAGTTATATGCATTTCAACTTTAAGTTTTAAACCCTAATGGCACATACAGTTTGGACTTTCATAATTCTTAGGAAATTGTGAGCCATTTCAATAAATTCGTTATTACACTATCTTGTATATTGATCTTGTCCCATAAACTGCCATACTATGATTCCTAGATTGCGCAAAATAAAGTTTTTTCTCCTTGTGTTCATTAACTGATTGATGGATTGAATTTGTTATCAACTGATGTGTGCTGCGTTGTTATTTATTGCTGAAATGAATTGCATCCGGGATTCGATGCTTTTAGGTTACCTGAAACAATCAGAGATGACAAAATAGTTGCAAAAAGTGGACAGTCAAATGATCAACAGCCAGAGCTTGAGCTTCCGGCAGAGATTTTGGAATTGATTCTTTCTCAATTATCCTTGAGAGATAATATCCGTGCTTCTTCTGTTTGCAAAAGATGGCGTGCTGCTGCTACCTCAGTCCGGATGGCCGATAAACCTCCATGGATTATGTTTTTCCCAAAATTCGGTGACTTGTATGAATTCTATGATCCTTCTCAGCGCAAATCATATTGGCTTGATTTGCCAGAGCTAAATGGCTCTAGGATTTGTTATGCCAAGGAGGGTTGGTTGCTTTTTTACAAGCCTAGAACAAAAAGAATATTCTTTTTTTGTCCATATACTCGCGAGTTGATCAAATTGCCTAGACTAGAACTGACGTACCAAGTAGTTGCCTTTTCTGCTGCCCCAACATCTTCCAGCTGTATTGCATTTACTGTTAAGCACGTCAGCCCCACAGTTGTTGCGATTAGTACATGCCATCCCGGGGAAACTGAATGGACTACTGTCAATTACCAAAACCGTCTACCATTTGTCAGCAGCATTTGGAATAAGCTGGTTTCCTGCAATGGTCTTTTTTATTGTTTGAGTGTAACAGGATGGTTGGGAATTTATGACCCCGACAAAGGTACTTGGGGCATTCATTCTGTGCCTCCGCCCAGATGCTTTTTTGTCAAAAATTGGTGGAAAGGGAAATTTATGGCAGAACATAATGGAGATATTTTTGTTATATATACATGCTCAGTTGTAAACCCAGTGACATATAAATTGGACCGAGTGAATAAAGTATGGGTTGAGATGGAAAGTTTAGGAGGCATGACACTTTTCGCAAATTTCTTGTCGTCCTATGCGAAGACAGATCTTCTTGGAATGATGAGAAACAACATTTTTTTCTCCAAAGTTCGATTTTATGGAAAAAGGTGCGTATCATACTCTCTGGCCAGTGGCAGATACTATCCCCGCAAGCAGTGTTATGATTGGGGAGAACAAGATCCTTTTGAGAGTATTTGGATTGACCCCCCTGAAGACCTCTCGATGTTTCTTTAAAAGAGATGGCAACAGTAGTGATTATTTCAAGTGAAGCATTTATGATACTTATATGTTCTCCTGTAATCTACTTGCTGCTGTTGGAAGGATGACTTCCGTAACCAGTTCTCCTTCATGTGGCTTTTCATGCTACCTTAATGTTGTCGACTTTTCTTCTCCTAGTGTTATGCAGCTACTCAGTAAGGATACTTTACAAACTTGGTTACAATAGCTTAGTATTTGATTATGGATTTAAAGGATACTATGCATCTTGTTAAAAGATTATCTTTGACTATTGTTATTGCATTAACATTGATTTGCCCCTGTTGTACAAAATGGCCCTTCCATGCCTAATTCATGTGGCCTCATAAATCAAGTGGAGGATGACGTTCCACCCCATGAAGAAACTTCTTTTGTAGTAGTAGTAGTAGTGCAAATTAGACAGTTTCTGGCGATAAGATGAGAAAACCAAGTTTGACGATCGTGGAATGGTGCTTCATGTACATTATGCTGTTCTTTACTAAAAGATGGTATATTTTGTTTCCTTAATGATGTTCATCTAGTGTCACTTTTTGGTCTACCAATGTGATTGCCTTCACCAGATTTAATGCGTGCACACTCACGTGTGTTATTGAAAATTAATCAACATCCATTGTGCTCAAGTAAATTGCAATTTTTTGTGCCGGATGGTGTGTTTCCAACCATCGATGTGTGTGATATATCATAAGGGCCTAATATCTCAGAAGCACATTTTAAATCTTTGAATGAGAACAGATTAGAGATTTATCATTGTGAACTGCATTGCTGATACTGACCCTAAAACGAAAGAGGTAGATACAACTAGTTCATGAACAGCTACCATCGCACTTGCTTCAGTTACTTATATCACACATGAATATGATTGAGCTAATTAATTGGTTATCTTACATGCATTTTCACAAAATCAATGCTCAACTAAGTCCTGTATGATTATTGCATGATTGGTGTCCCTTCTTATAATGTTTGGACCATCGATGTCCAGCCAATCCACCGAAATAGGCCATCAGTCTAGTTTAAGCATTTTCAATTATAGCAATACTTCGTTTCCAAAGCATTTTCCTCTGTTCTCTTTTTCTATGCTTTCTCCTAAACTTTCTCCACAACTCATTTTCGAGCACATCAGGACCATAATGCTGAGAAACTATCCTTTGTGGCATGTGGCACCATGCTTTAAAAGGTAGCGAATGTGGTCAATGATATGTTGCAAATGAAGGCTTACGTGACTATGCTGTGGAAATGAGAACTGAAAGTGATGGTGACTCACTTGGGAATTCATTTTGTTGGGGAGATGGTGATTGGTAGTGAAACTAGGGTCGGTCTTGAAAAGAAATGGCTGGGTATCTGTTAACAGAAAAGTATGGATGATTCACAGAGAGAGTATATCAGGGGTAAAGTTGACAGTATCTAGAAAGGGCGGTAGTCAGTGAGCGGGGCCAGTCAACGTATGGGATGGGTAAGAGGGGATTATAGCAGGGGAGAGGGTGATATGATAAAACAATATACAGTTAACTAAGACAAGATCGAAACAGAACAAAACACCATTTGCAACAACCATAACCAGAAGGCACTGCAAAAGGATTTCTTGTGAAGAGCAGTACAACAATTGAGACCAAAGAAGCTCCAGCTACAAAAACTCTAGAAGACCAAGCACATAAATTCCAGATACATAGTAATTGCAAGTCACGGATACTAATTTCATGAATAAGTGTGTAGATCTATCCACATATAATCAACTTAACGAGGCAGATTGTGAAAGATCATAAGCTACTCTAAAGCTCACGAAGACCATGATCATCATAACTGCTCAAATAAAGAGATGTTTGTAATCCCCATTGGCAAGTTGGCAAACTTGATTGTAGCTAGCTGTATCTGCAAAAAACAAACAAAAGCATAAGCACTGTAGGTGCAGAACTACACGCCAAGCTTATAAACCATCTTGAATGTACACAAGCAAAATGTCAAGAGGCACTTGGTCCGCATAAAAAGCAACTTATAAACCAACATCAAATTTCTTACAGAAAATTCGCATTGTAAAACTGAGTACTCATAAAACAAGTAAAATTTCCTTCAACCATTGTTGGAGTATCTTCTTTCTTTTGGGTACTTTCTAAGTCCTTTGGAATGTGGAAAGACGACAAAGACTCAAAGCTAATGCCTCATACGTGCTTTAAGATGATGCGTACATGCAGAAATATTTTATCAGAGACCCAGACGAAGTTAATTCAGTTTCATGTGAAGAAGGGAAATGACGCATGGCTATCCGGGATCTTTTTACAAATAAATTTTACCACTACACAATAGCCCTCCAATACCAGTGACTATTTTCTATATCATACAATCAACAAAATGCAACAAGGCGTCAATACATGAAAATACTAAATTATTTATGCCCAAATGTCCACCTAGAAAAAAGAATAACCAGAATCTCAATAGAGGGTCTTCAGAAACCGTACCTAGATTGTCACCGAAGTTGGTCCATATTTCAGCCTGAATAGATTGGTTACTGTCAGCGATGCCAATTACCTCGACAAATGTCGAAAGAGGTCCAGGAGGATGACCTTTGATAACCAACTGTTGATCGTCCGTCGATTTTCCAACCACCGTGCCACCGCCGTCAGATCTCAAAACCTGAATCACCGCTCGAACCCTCCGTCCAACGTACATCCGTAGTAGCTCCGCGTTAACGAAAACAGACGGGTTTGACGTATCCATTTACTTCAAAATCCAAAAAATAAAAACATGTACAGAACTTCATTAGTGTCACGAAAATTTAGAATTAAAGAATCCAATTTCAAGTCTACATAATTAAACATATATAGTTAATCATGATTAAAAGTACTGGAGGTGATGAAACGAAAAGCAAAACGGATTAAGAAATTAGGGCTTCCAGATGTCACCTTTTTCTTTGATTCAACAGAAATTGATCAACAGTTCCACCACAGAAACTTGGAAAACCCCTTGATTTGTAAAAGAAATGGGCAAAATATTGAGGGAAAAAATGGCGGTGAATGTTCCCGCCTTGAAGAAACTCGCCCATCGGATTGGCCCACGTTGACGTTAGAAGCCACGGCCCACATCCCACGGCCCACTGATGAAGTTCGGTGATTTTGCTCATATGCTGGTTTGTATGGTTTATAATCGTGTTCAAACTTCAATATCACGAACTGCAAATAACTAAAGACATAGGATTCGTTTGGTATGCCTTTTGAAAATTTAAAAGTTGCCTTATAAATGAAGAAATTATTGTTGTATATGTTTGAATAATTTTTTGGAAGTGTTTTGTTTTATTAAAATGTATTTTAGAGTAAGTTAATCTAAAGCAACCTCTTTAAAAAATTCTTCTAAAAGAAATTGAAGCACTATCAAATAGATCCTTATATAAGTTTGAGGTCCAAATGCTCACGGCAACTTCACCAAGGCAACGTAGGATTTACCACTATTTCTTCTTATATATCAACGATCCTTGATAGCTAGACACAAGAATTAGAAAGAAATTCGTCTTACGGCAACAGATCGAGACAAGCCAGAAGCGCAAGTCAAGAACTCTTGTGGTCGAACCAAAAAATTGAATCTGAATCAATCTTGCTAGGGTCGACTTGCTTACTTGATTTTAGTATCTTTGAGAAGTTCTCCTCAATATTGTTGAATTGGCATCTCACTTGAAATAGAGCCATTTTTTGAAAACTTCGAAATTAAGCAACTCGTGTACTCGATCTTCATACTATAGATATTCTTAAATGTTCCCTTATATTAACCCTATCTTGCAGCATTGACCAATAGACAAGAGTACGGAAGGAAAAATTACATTTGATCTTGATAATACTAGAAAAGAACAAGGAACGAAAGGAAAAAGAAGTCGAAATATTATTATTTGTACATGTATAATAGTGTTGAACTAAGCATGATCTTAAAATTTAATGACTTACGAAAATAATGGTATACTTCCACAAAATTCTACGGAAGTAACAATACTGTATGGGAATACTATCAGAACATCAATGTGTGTGTGTGTGTGTGTGTTGAGGGCGGGATGGAGAGGTTTATTTCTGTTTGAGTTTTTTGGTGAGAGCGAAAAGTGCTCCGGCTGCAGCCACGATGATTCCTGATACAATGATGGCAGTTTTGAATGTTTGTAGGCAATCCTTCCTTTCGTCTTGTTTATGTTTCTTTGCTGCCTCAGCCTCAGATTGTTCCTGCACCAAAACACCTTCTGCAAATCATAACCAACGATACAATAGAGCTTCTTTTTCTTCTTTAATATTGCAAAAGTCCATTTGAACGATGATTTTGATGGCTGTAAATGTAATTACCTTAGAGGCAGCAACTTCTGATGAAATGGGATCAACCTGAACATCCTTGTTCTGGCCTGGATTCAACTCTTTTTCTGCATCAGCAGCTGGAAATCCCTCGGAGCTTGCCATTTTTGACAAAATTTTGCCCTGCGGTTTTCTGTTTATCAAGTGGAAAATTACAACAAGAAATCTGTAGATTCTTCACCCAACACATGTCAAAATTCCCAAAAAAATTGGATCTCAACTACTTGGGAAAACTGTTGGCCTAACTAATTCTGGATCACCAATCAACCTCAATGGATGGTTAAAAACCTATTTCGAAACATTTTTACATTATCAAAGAAAGCTTAGGGTACTTGAGAAAATAAATGACACTCAAAATGCAGGTCTTACTATGCTAAACATGATCGAGCAGGGATTCATTACAGTGAGATTCAATATAGTAGCCTGAGAATAACTCCACCCATATATTTGTATACAACATAGTATTTAGAAAGGAAAAAAAAAAAAAAAAAAGAAGAAGTTCGTAATGTAAATGACTCCTTTGTTAGTTCAGCAAATCTCTCATGCCTGATACGTCCACCAAAGTGTCACACCACAAACTTCACCTCCATGCTTCAACCCGTTCTGTTGGTGAATTTATCCGGCTAATTATCCTTGAGTCTTTGCTCTTTTCTGCATCCTTAGAAACATGAACAGCTGATTGCTGAATAATCCTTTCGGCTACTTTTTTAACATTTGAGTTACTCGACTGTCCAGTTTTAGTTGTTGGGCTTTTTGAATTTGGGATTCCTTCACTTCCTATTGAAGAGTTACCTTTTCCAAGTCTTTGAATTTCTGTTTCAACCATATGCCATTTTCCACCCGGAAGGATATTCTTGATAGAACTCAGAAAACCATGTGTCCCATTACCAGTTTTCAGTTCAGCCAGGGAGGAGTTTGGATTGTACCTTGACGGTGATACTTCTGCCACATTATATTGGTTCTCTGCAGTTACCCAATTGGTCGCGTTAATTAATGATTCAGATGTGCCATCACGATTATCTCCATCAGAAGGCTCTAACTTTGAAGCAGTATCAGTTTGTACCATAAGATCTTCTCTTTCTCTCAAGTTTTTGACTATCAGAGTTCTTAGGAAGTTCATTACTTGGACTGCGTACATCAATGCTGTGAAAGGATCTGCCATCTGCAGCAAGCAAACATTAGCACCCTCGAACCAAATTAGTTTGAGTGTGAAAGGAAAACATAAAAACTCGGTGGAAAAAGACCTTTTTTTTCTGAAGTATAGTAAACTTCACTCATCAAGAGTATTGAACCGTGTTATCTAAAAGCTTAAACTGTTAGATAAATAAACAATTATTTATTCCCCTCACGCGCATGCCAGATTCTATTTTCTCATTAAGAGTTTGTCACGTGCACAATTTTCATAACTGGATGATAGAAAGAATTGAATTGAGGACCTATGTTTGACCTGATAGCATGTTAAACCACCTCATCTAAAAGTGTAAGCTATTAGAGAAGGGGAGTATTTATTTATTTACATTTAGTCAACAAAAGAGACCACTACATTTCTGCTCACCTGCGTCATATTTGGTGCAAAAACCACGGCAATATTACGTGCATTCATTTTGTTCAGATCTTCAAGCTGAGCGACATCAGCCATTAAGTTAATTGCCCAATCCAATAGAGCGGCATCTGTAGGTGGAAGGAGCCGTAAAAGCTGAGTGCACTCTTCTTCAGATTGAGCCCGCATAACCTCGCCTGGTGAGAGAGAGTCCAACACTCCTCTCGGGAGTTCTCTGAACCAAGCCTGCAAATCACCATTACTTGAAGTTGATGCAATAAATAAGCTAAAAGGTTGGAACTTCCCTAATACGGTAGGGGCATATTCAGTTACACAAATGCACGCCTGTGGATTAGAAAAACCAAAACAATTGCATTGAAGCAGAATGGTTCTTGTGCTTCACTATAAATAATTGGCAAAATATTCCTGTTTTATCCCATGCTCATAAATTTTTTCGAAAAACAAATTTAACGAAGTAAATTTTCCACATGCAAATGAATTAACCATTTTGATGCAATATTATATCGAAATATTTAGGCACACAACTGATAACATCAATCAATTTTAGATCTCTCTCCAGTGAGTGATATATTAGCACTAATTTCTGGTAAGCATTAACATAACATTATAATTTTCTGATTACTAAAGTTCTGAAGAAAGGATTCAGCACAATCGAGTCACAGAAGAGTACCTTAATGAGACCTGCTAAACAATGAACCTCAATATTGTCTGGCACCTTCCCATTATTTAATTGTTCCCTGACAAACTCTTCCTGGCCATTCTCAGCGTTAATTCTGAAGATTCCTTCTGCCTTCAAATTCAAGTGCACTAAATCAGTTATTTTCCAGATCCGAAACAGTATCACAGTATCAGCATATAATGACTCAGTGTAACTCTTTAGCTATATATTTGTTTTAGAATTTTAGTACAGCACAAAGAAAAAAGAATACCAAGGAAATAATGCAAGGTCATATTACCAGCAAACCACCTTGGAAGTACAAGTGTCTTTGCATCATCAGAAGTATTGTAGGCACACAATTACCTCTGGTGTCAAAAGAAAGCTGCATAGACTCTATTGAAACTCCAAAAACTCTTGCACTGTCAAAGATTATTATCGAAGTCAATGGCATGAAATAAACTCGGGCAGTGTCTTTCTGTTATCTGACAAGAGAATTTTGGTGCATATAATGTACATACCATGACAATAAGAAAATAAATAAAAACAAAATTTTTAGGCTTTTCAGGCCTCAAACCTACTAAAACATTAATGCTACGAAAAATATGTCGCAAAAAGGGTTTCCTCCAAACGACATGCCAGCTCCCCCAAAAAATGTGGACTCGTAAGAACTTCAGTCAAGAAAATGAAGATGGAAATCTTCTTAAACCTGGAGTATGCAAAAAGCATAAAAGTAATCTATTGAAAGATAATCTCAGAAACTAGAAATTGAATGTATTAGATCGTTGACAAACAACGTTGAATTCAGAACTGTCAAACCAGGTGGTTTGAATTGAGAAGCTACGAAGACAAAATGGCAAGAAGGGTAAACTGGGATATAGTTTTCCTTCTACTGGTCTTTCTCTCATGGTCAATTTCAAATACAAACCAAACTCTCCAAAGGAGAGCTGGTGATGACTACCGGCCAATGATGGTCCTTACTTTATATATTGCACAAATGCAAGCAATACAGAAGAACATGTACACGAAACAGAACATAGTTCCATACTGGTACCAAATTAAGGTAGAAAATTATGAGTGTTCCGAAGGTCATGATAAATGATATGATGGAAAATACTGAATTGATGCTAACTACATTTACTTCCATAGAAATCCTTGATTGATAAACTCTCGATTATTGAATTCATAGCATTAGTATAAATAGAATAATTCTAGAAGAAAATTTTAGTACATTTGACTTGTGGATGAATAATTATTTATAAATTATAAATATCTAAAAACACGTCTTTTCGAAGTTTAAAAAAACAGAAGTTTATGCACAATAGGTCTTTCTTTTTGCTTTTGCTTTACTTAATTTCTGAAAATCCACACCAGTGACATTGGTATGTAGATAGATCACACCATACTTCTCCCACTTACAGAGAGAGAAACCTTAGGAGAATGCAAGGAAAATTTAAAGTGATATCCCAATGAACCAATTACGAAAAAATTGTATCAAACACTTACAAAGAGTTTTTATGGTACATTGTTTCGTCATAATTACAGGTTGGAAGCAGAAGATAAGAAAGAAAGCAAAATTGAATTCACATCAACAACTTAATCAGAGGAAAACTTTACCCCATTTTCAGGATAAATCGGAAAGAACTTTGCGCCTTAGTAACAGGATTCTTGCCAAAACAAAGGTGTTCGCCTCTAAAAAGTGTCAATACAAAGGTACTTGAGTTGACAAAGTTTTACCTTTAGGTGCGTTTGATTGCAAGGTTGAAAAATGGATGAAAAGAAAATATTTTACAGGGAAAAAATTTGTTTAGAAAATGTTTTGCAGGGAAAATGATTTCAAGTGTGTTTGATTGGTATAATTTTCCAATCGGAAATTTTTTAAAATTTTGAATTTTTTTTGTTCACGTTTGATTTTATTTTACATGAAAATTGTTCATTAAAATAATTTTTTTTTACAGTTGGTTATAAAATTTATTACCATTGTCAAAAAGTAAAAAAAAAAAAAAAAAAAAATTTCCTCGAAAACTTTTTTTTTATCTTATTCGTTTGATTTCGTTTTACATGTAAATTGTCCATTAAAATGAAATTTTCTTAATAATTGGTTATGAAATTTATTAACATTGCCAAAAAAAAAAAAAAAAGTTGGCCAAACTTGGAATTCATTTTCCCACCAAAATGGTGGGAAAACATTTTCAGCCAAAAAGTGGAAAATGGGCGAGTGGAGGGGTGGGAGGAAAAACATTTTCGTTGGAAAATTTGTGCTGTCAAACAAGACAAAAGTGGGATTTTCCATTTTCCATGAAAAAAAAACCCAATCAAACAAGGCCTTAGATGCAAGGGAAGTAGGAAAACTAAAAGAAACAACTACTGGTTTTCCTTTTGTCAATCATGTTTTATAGTTCATTAAATTTTCGCAACTCCTATCCAGAAAACGTCAAGAGAATGAACAGAACCATATGTTCCAACAAGGAAAGATTAAGAACCAATTCGAGAATATTATTCTTGAGAAAAATCATCACCACACGCTAATAAACACACCAAATGATTAAAAGAAAATAGAAGGAAAAACATTCCAATACTCTATAGATAGACTCATACAGCCCTGTGTGTTCTTCGATTTTAAAGTTTTTCACGTAAATCAAATATGGAAAATGCCCGAGATGCTTGTCGTAGCAACCAACAATTTAAGAAAAAGTTTCCTCATAAGCACTCCAAAACATGCTCACATTCACTACAAATCATCATCTTTTTTTTTCCTGATTTTTCAAATGACAGTTAGTATCAAAATAAATTCCTCATTACAAAGTTGAGAAGACCAAAAAACTGACCTAGCACTGGGTGGCCTTCTGGGAACTTCAGGTTCAAACTCGAGAGGGAGTCCAAGAAATCCATTGAACCTATCAAATGTGACATGGGCAACATGTCTGACATTAGTAGGCCGCCCTATTTCCACTAATTCTTCATCCCTACAGTTTTCAGCTGCACCACAACCCACCAAAGATTTCCTGAAAGCAGTCACCAAAGCAGCCAAAACAGACAATTGAAGCCCCTCCTCTTCTTGTTCTCCTACATCCTGTTGTGCTCGTGTAATATTATTTCTCCTGAAAAAATCTACCGAATGAATGTTAATAAGGGAGTGCAACCCGTCATCCACGGAGCTTGAAGGTGAAGCCATTTATGGTGGTGGGGAATGCAGAATGTCTGTCATTTATTTTTTTAATGCTAATTTGTGTAGTGTGTATGTGAAGATTGGATTCATGGGTTTAAATGGAGGGAAAATGGGTGAACTTTAATGGGTTTTCTTGCTTGTTTTGGTAAATTAATTTGGATTGTTGATGATGGGATGGTAGATCAGAAATTGGATTAACTATTGAATACGAATTCTTGAAAATTTGGTTTTAGTAGAGTCTGTTTAAAGTAAAGGTTTTATGGAAGTTGAAACCTATACATCATCATTCACTCCCCTTCTCTGTCTTTGCTCATTGTTCATAAGTTGCACGAATACTTATATTTTTTAAAAGCTGTAGTTTCTTAGGACTAGGAGATGACAGAAACTCCAAGAATTTCCCTACAGTACACCAAGTTTGGAATGAACAGTTGTAGTTCGTCTACGTCCAAGACACTTGAATATCGAAGTATCGAACGACGACTGAAGAAACTTTCATAAATGTTTGTACTCATATCATAAGCCACTATTTCATTTAAAAGCTAATCACCTCGTAAAACAGCAATTCGTGTTTATCAGGGAATCCATCCAATTCCTTTTTTTGCAAGCAAACTTGATTAGTAAAGTCCGGGTTGTTTAGATTTCACCATCTTAAATGGAATTTGAATGGGTCAATTAAATATTCTGCATTCTCAAACAAAGATCAACAGATAAGGAGGACTTCTCCTTTTGCTTGTAGTCTTATTACTACTTTTAAAATAATTTTATAAGAGGATTTGGAGGAAATCACGTTGAATCAAATTCCTTTAAAAACTTTTCTATAACCAAACGAGTTCAGAAGCAACTTTTGTATCTCAAAAACTCATTTTAAGTGGGCCTTAAACAAATCTCAATGATAACTTGGATTTCTAGGTATTAATATCCTGAAAAGTAATGCCTAAAATACTATGAATAATTCCGTACAATTATGTTGTAAGCACTCATTACAAGAATTGGGAAGCTATTTAAAGAATCCACAACAGAATTGGCTTTGTCTTGGACTAGACTTGCCTGCGTTGCTTTAATATTTCTTTAATATGTTCTCTCTCACCTACAAGAAGTTGAGCATACAAGTATAACTCCACCGATAAAACCATATACCATCAAAGTTTGACATTGTTTTTGATACTCCATTGTTTTCAAATAAATTGCTGGCGGAAAAGTGTGTATTTTTTAAAAAACTGTTCAATATGACATCGCCACGCGATATGATATAAAGAATGATATAAAAAAAGTGTATATGTAGCATGATTGTCCAACCAAACATATTTTAACATGGTTTAATGCTATATTGCTCAGTAAAATCCGTTGTGCCCTCCACGCGTTCTTACCGATGGCTGATTTTCGCTGCCCAAACGCCGAAGACCACATGCTTTTCCAGCCTTTCACCTTCTCTAATTTTTTATTATCGAACTTGATTTTAATTCATAATTTTGGTTTTCAAGATATACTTTCATTTTGAGGAAATTATATAATTCCAGGTATTCAAACTTCACAATTCAAAAATCAGGGTTGAAGTTTCATTATGCATAAATCAGGTATCTATAAATTAAATATTATCCACTCAATTTATTACAAACCCTAATAATTTCAATTCTAATTTTCTCTCTCTGCTTCTCTCATTTCTTTCTCCTCTACGCCACCACCCGTTGAAACTCCGGCAACTGACGACGGAGCTGCACCGGCCAATACACACTCTCTTTCCTCCCACAAGTGCCGCTACCAGATCGTCACCATCTTCTTCCAATCATCGCGATGGGCAAAGCTCATCTTCACGTGCGGCGGCGAAGAACAACAGCTCTGTTCGTCGCTGCACGCGGTGCTTAGAGCATCGCCCAACGCAAATCTGAGTCGACAACGGCATGATGACAACGATCGGGTCAAGATGGTGTAGCCGGGCTGTGCGGCCACGCCGGTCGGCTGCAGTGGGGGATTTCTGTGTGTGAAAGTCGATTGTGTTGTTACGATGTGTGCGGTAACGATAGTCGTTGGTGCGAAGGCAAGGCCAGCAAAAGAGTTAACCACATCGTGTGACAATCGGGTCCTGAACCAAGTCGAAGCAAATATTACACTCTAAATGTCTAGCATCTGGGTTTGGGGGCTCCCTATTTGTCGATTCCCCAAGCCTACTCGCCATCTTTCACCATCAAATTACTCGAATCTCCTACTACAAATTTAACTCTGGTGCAGTGGTAACGATGGTTGTTGGTGCAGCCGTGCAAGTGGTGGAGGTGGCCGATTTGTAGCGCACGTGCGCTAATTTGTGTGAGTTTTATAGTGGTGTGGAGTTGGGGACTTTTTTCAGATGGATATTGTGAGATGGTGGTGTGGTATTTGACCAGATTAGGTGTGTGGTGGGTTGACAATGGTGGTGGCAGTCGACGGTGGTGCTAGTGGAGGATCGGCGGATTTGGTGATTTTGATTTTGTGACTAAAAATATTATCTATGACCTTACAATTCGGTAATCTGTGACTAAAAATATAATCCGTGACCAACCGTTTTTTATCTGTGACTTAAAAATTATATAATATGTGACTGTAAAAAAATCTGCAACCAATTAATTTGAAAATCTGTGACTGTGTGACCTATAAATTTTGATCTGTGACCAGCTAATTTTGAAATCTGTAATCAACGAATTAATTGTGACCTATAAAATTTTTGAACTGTGACCGTAAATTATAAATATGTGACCGAATGGTCACCGAAATAGTCGCCGGAATAATTGCCGAAATTGGAGCGCTGGAACAACAGCCGGAGAAGAGTGGTGGTTGGAATAGTCCCCGAAGTGGTATGGATGGTGCATGTGGGATGGGTTAATTATATTATATATTTAATAATAAATTGATTTAATAATTTATTATTTCATAAATAAAATATTAAAAAAAAAAAACCTGATTTTTGAATTTTCAAACTATAAACCTGATTTTTGAATTGGTACAAAGTATACACCTTATTTATGAATTTTTCCCTTTCATTTTTCTTAAGATGTGGCGGCGATGGATTTGGGCTAGTGGTGGGACGTTGGAAAGATGATGAGTTTTTTCTTATTTTTTTTTGTACTTTCTAAGTGAAATCCATTTATAGCCTTGTTAGGCCTTGTTAAATTATAATTTATTTTTTCTATTTTTTTATTAATCACACATTCTTTAATAAAATAATATTGTACGTAAATTCAAAAAAATCTTTATTTTTTAATAACGCATTCTCCAAAAAATTACTATTTCTTTCATTATAATTTGAAATAATGAGAGCCAAACGGCCGTATTCTTTTTATAAAAGTCATGTAACTCTATTGTTATTTTTTCTTATTTTTTGATGTTTTATTGCTTTTGTTTTATTTTTGTTTATTGAGAGGACAAATTCATCATTTTACATTAAGAGCTTGTTTGACAATCATTATTGTAGAAAAAAGAGTTTTGGATAGTGATTTTTAAGAGAATGAGTGATTAAAAATATGGAATTTTATATATATATATATATATATATATGTAGAATATTAATTGAAAATGGGATTAAAGCAAACCATAAAATAAAGTAATGAACGTCTGACATGCACTAAATTAACAGCAAAATTGGATGGAATAACGTGATTTGCAATTAAATGAAAGAATGCAAATGTCCAATGCTAAAAGGGTTGAGCATAGATAAGTAACCGTTTGCAAATATTGAAAACAAAATGTGCAATTAATATCACAAATCACTATCCATAATCGAGAAGAATATAAACATCATGAAAAATGATCTCCTAAGCACCATGTAAGCAACAATGACATGACACATCAATTAATTGGTGAATAAATTCATGATAAGTACCAGAAATTAAATGATCCACCAACTATTTGATGTACCGTGTCATCGGTGCTTAGTTTGTGAGATCATTTCTATACAAATCACATATCAAAGCAGCATCATAAAGCTTCAGCATCTGAAATAACGCTCCGCTATAAGTTACATGAATTTGTACCATTGTGAATGTACAATTACTGTGGTCTACTAACAGGCTCAAGTGCCTCAACCGTGACTACGCTATTTCCCCTTATGACCTGTAGAACAAGAAGGAAAAGCACATTTTCAAGTTAGACCTGATCAAAATGACGAATGAACTATGATAGAAGCACCAAAAGATAAGAGCTGAGTAAACTCACCACCATGCCAATTTTGTTTTTCTCATTGCCATTCACTTCAACAGTGTTCACTACCAGGTTCATAAACTGATCAAAACCACGAAGTGTTCCAACCACCATCTGATTAGCATTCAGCTTGACTGAAATGCAAAATGCTGGATATTTAATAATATGACAGAGTACAAAATTGGCGCAATGAAACAGAAATGCGGTGCTCAACAGATACAAAATGGATACAACAAGGAGGGGCGCGACGCAGGCAATTAAAGTTAGGGGGCACAATTGAACTTGAAAAAAAGTTGGAAGAAATTTTACAACTGAAAATTTACATTCAAAAAAATCATACCCCATGTAATTTTGCATTCGAAAATTTATATAGAATATGACTTTTTCGAATGTAAAATTTCGAAAATTTTTGATATCATATCCCATATAACTTTTCTAATAAAATAATGCACATTACATTGAAAAATTTGTATCATAAAAATAATAAATATTAATTAAATAATTTAATNATTGAGAAATTTATATCATAAAAATAATAAATGTTGATGAAATAATTAAATTTTTTTAAAAAATGCGAGTTAGACGCCTCTTTTTAAGATGTACGTTTGACGCATCTTTAACTATTTTCGATATCTGTTTGAATTATTCGATATGTCTATAATATAGTCCTCGAAACAAGTTTTGAGATGATATAAGCGATTTGTAGATTCGATTACCGTACGATCGTTGGATAATTTTTAAAGTTAGCATGTTATCGAAATTCTCGAAATACTAATTTTAAATCGCTTACTTTGATGAGTCGTAACATTTGCTACGATTGGTCGATTCGCACGCCGTTAACGATATAAAAAACTAGAATGTGAGCACTTTGAAATAGTATTAAGAATGCAATATTTCGATTTCGTTTCACATTTTATAATGATTTCGAAATTGAAACAAAACATAGAAAATTAAAAAAAAAAAAAATTTGGTGGCACGTGCCCCCTGGCCCACCCTGGGTCGGCCAGTGACACCAAGCATGTAGAGTTTTCTTGAAACGGTATGTAGCAGCTTGCTAATGACAAAGGACATGCTGTACAAGATTTAATTTGACAGAGGCTAAACTCTAAAGTATTTATCCATGGACACAATGCTTGTATACAACTAAATTTAGACGATTCTCCTAGAAACAAATATTTCACTGGACTTCCTAGTATTCTACCATTTGAAGCAGACATCAGAGTTGATCACAAAAGAATGAATTTTCAGAGAAATAAAATATTTCTGCTTCTTGTCTGTGTACTTAGAGAAAAGACAAACTTATTATCCTAATGGACCAAAAAAATAGAACAAATAGAAATTTAATTGCCGGTCCATTAGTTAGTCTATAAAAGGAATACACATTTACAATAATGCTATTGTGAGATGTCTGGTGTATTTAGAAGCAAATAATTTATTACGAAATGGTTGGAATTATTCAGTCGCTGTTCAATGCCCATTAAAAAGCGGTTTTTTGGGGAAAATAAGTTTTGGAATGATGATTTTTTGGAGAATATGTGGTTAAAAAATAGAAATTTAAGTTTACGTGCAAAATATTTTGCCCCTGCTTGAACTCCATTTTATTCAAAATGCATTTTTCTCTCTTCTTTTCAACTACACGTTCTCCAATAAAATAATATTACGCTAAATCCTAAACATTTTCATTCTTTTTAATTAACAACACATTCTTAAAACAGTCACTATTCAAAAATACTTTTTTTGTTTTTCCAAAATTTGATTTTAATGGAACCCAATCAAGGGATTTATAGCGATTAGATTTTAATGAAAAAAAGAATTTTTGGAAAATGGTAGACAAACAATGACTTATTACCATTTTGTATGGTGTGAAGTTGAACTATAAATTTGACCGATTAGAATTTCTAAATTCCTAATAATATTTCTTATGTACTAATAAACACTACATTTAATTAGAAGCAATGTGACATCTAGATATTTCATTACCAATATTGAAAAGATTCCACTGCCCAAACAAACTAATGACTTGCCACCATAAGAAAATTTGTCAAGTTATGTCCCACTGATTGGTGTAATAATCTAACCACCCAAAAATTCTGAAAGCATTAAGACAATTGAATCATTAATGAGATAGACGTAGAGATGGAAATGGCTCGGCTCGGCCCTAATGCGTACGAGCTAGGCTAGTGCTCGTCACGAGCCGAGCTCATGACTCGTTTATAACGAGTTGAGCTTCTACTCGGCTCATTATTTGTGGGTCGAGCTCGTCCATTTTCTAGTTTTTTTTTAAGATGAACCTTTTTAAACAAAAAATAAAATAAAATGAATCCTCTTCCTTGGACGAGCCCAAGAGCTAGCTCGTGGGCTAGACTTGTGGGTGAGCTCGTTGGCTCGCCCACGAGCCGTTCGCCCGCTCGACCCGTTTTCCACCCCTAAATAGACGCAGCCTAATATTGACACAATATAAGAATACAATTGAAGTCTCAAAGAAATTGTCATTTTAAAAAAGACAATTGAAAGCCTGCTTTGCTAAAGCCCCATTATGTGCGTGGAAAACTGGAACATTCCAAAAGACGTGAAACCTTGAAAGCAGGGAAAAAAATGGGATAATTCTTGATGTACACTTTTGTGTACAACAAGTTTGACACTCTCCACACATGGTTTCACGGGTTACCTTTCTTCTTAACACAGAAAGGGACACCGTGCGGCAGTAGTATGCTCTGCTAGACTACCTTTCACCTTTTCTCGGTCGTTTCGGGACGAAAGTAAATTTGATCACAATTTAAAGAAAGCTTACAACATGAAATTGAAATGTATTGAAATAAACTTAATCATTGATTGCTTGAAAGCTTAACATTACAATAGACGAAAGCAGGAAATTACAATGGCTAGTGCAGGGGGCGAACACTAGAAAGCTTGAAAGTTGTTTGAAAGACTAATACCCCCTATAATAGATTTAGCAACAAAAACCCATATGACGGGAGTAGACGTTTAAAGTCTCTAGAATCATATTAAAATCTTCTAATTTCCAACTATTTTACAATTAAATGAAATATTTACAATGTGCGGTCGAAGTTGGGGCACACTGTGGCTGCGATAGGATCACATGGCTTAAGTAAAGCTGTTGCCCGTGACATTCTCCCCCATTTGCTTTGGTGACGTCCTCGGAGTCACTGATTGTTCTTTTCGTTGTTGCATCCGCTCCATTTGACCAAGTACTCTTGAAGATATTTCCTAGAAGCTCGATGGCCAAAAACTTTTCGGCAACCTTCGTTTCTGATCTTTTCAATTTAAACACAGGTCGCTTCAGATCTGCAGATTTCTTGTACTATTTCTGATTGACATTCGCGGTACGAAGGAGTAACGGATGCTGGCCTGTAGTAATATCAAAAGGACTCTTATTAGGAGAAGAGCTCTCTTGAGCGTTGAAACACATCTGGGCCACATCCGAAAGTTTTACCCAATTTTCACGTGAAGCAGAGATAAAGTGCCGAAAATAGTCTTCCAGCATAGAATTGAAGCGCTCTGTCTGTTCGTTGGATTGTGGGTGAAAACTAGAATTCATGCTCAAAGTTGAATCAAGAAGTTTGAACAACTCGATCCAAAGTATGCTAGTAAATCGAGAATCCCGATTATTGACAATGTTGTTAAGCAGTTCCCAATATTTGGCAATATGTTTGAAGAAGAGTTAAGCTATCTCTTCGGTTGATACATACTTGGGCGCTGTGGTAAATGTTGCATGTTTAGATAAACAGTCCACCTCGACTGTGATAGTGCCAAAATCTCCCATTTTTGGCAATCCACCAATGTAGTCCATGGATCCACTCTTGACTGGTCTATTCGGGATGGAAAAGGGTTCCAGTAAGCCTGCCTTTTTATGATGATCTGCCATATCTTGCTGACGAACAAGACAAGTTCTCACATAACTTGCAATGTTGTCCCACCTCTGAAGCCAGTAGTATGCATGTTGTAGTAGTGCAGAAGTGTGCTCCACAATAGTCCCACTTCCCAACACTTATCCCACTTGTTTCAAGCTTCGGCTGAGCCATACGGTCTGGTGCCTTGGTGGGAGGTTAATTTGACACCCAGAACAAGTTCAATCTCACGATCAATTGCCCTTCTTAGTGGCAATTTCTTTGGTAACTCATTCGACTTTATGTCCTCAAATTCCTTAACAAGCCTTCCGACAGGTTTTGGAATTGGACCAGTCGCCTCTTCAATCTCTTCCAATCGAAGAGTGCACAAAAATGAGAATTCATTCCTCTTGAAACCTTTACTATATTGAATGGTCGAGATACCCTTCTCACCTGCCTTCACAATTTGTGTGGGGATAATGCATGGTTTGCNCTTGAAATCGTCCATCTGAACTGCCAACAAATTTGTCCTTCCCTCGAAGTGACCTACTTTGATAGACACAGATTTCGCTACTCCCGCTATTAGTTGAGCAACGGAGTTGATTGCTTTAACTTTCCCCTTACCTCTTTCTAGAGCAAGTCCGAGCCGCTCTACTTCGGTACTTGCGAGGCAGTTGTGGGTAGCACCAGTATCTATCATCGCCCTGATTGGCTTCCCATTGATCTTCACATCAATGTACATCAGGTCTTTCGCCCTACAAGTGCATCTTAGGCTCTTTCGAGCCTTCGATTCTTCCATCTTTGGCTCTTTCGAGGGACTATCTTCCCTTTTAGTAACTCGGTGCGATAGTGTATTGCACTGATGTGAGAATGTACCAACTACATCCTCGTCCTCTTCAGAATCGGTCTCGCCATGATAGCTAGCTTATGGGGTATCTTGCGTTGAACTCAATCCACCACTTGCTAGTTGGCAATAGGCATTCACCATCAGTTTCTGAGGACACTCCGCCACTCGATGTGGTCCTTCACATTAAAAGCTCTTCAATTTAGGAGCGACATCCGATCTGCCCTCTATTCATTTTCCTTTGTTCCAGTTGTTACTGCTGCTACTGTTGTAGCTTCCTTTGAAGTTACTCGGACGGTTGTCTTGATAGGCTCCTCCTCTATTCTGAGAGTAACGCTCTTCCCCATTTAAGTTCGAGCTGGGTCTGTAACGTTTATTTCCACCTTCGACAGATTGACTATTTTTTGAAGGTCGATCCTCTC